GTAGACCGAGGGTGGACTTGAGATACTGAGTTGGTAAGGTTTGGGTACATTCGCGTCAGGCTGGACTACTGAAAGACTAGAAGTGCGGGGCTCGTGTGACTGGACGTGTGCCATCGCCCGTGGCGCTATCATAATTAGTAAGGGATTGGTGAGGCTTGCTGACGAGATGATTCCCACGCTCATCTAACATGCAATGAGTATGTGATTTTAGCACATCACGAAATAGAGAGCGGTCTGGCGCGGCAGAACCAAGGGACCAATGACCTGGAGGAGCGCCCCTAGGGGACGGTCTGGTCAGGCAGGAGCGACGGCAATGGACAAGCGCTATAAGAGATTAAAGGACGTACTCAAAGCCCCAGTCAAACCAGTCAAACCGCCTAGTTTACTCTTCCCTTGGCAGTGGTGTTTCGCTGTGGAGTGTAGACTGACTTGATCAGACGCTACAATTGTACGCACTGTATGTACCTCTACACTCTCCGAGAGCTAGCGTAAGCTTCGAGCCGCTCTATTACCTAGTGCTACAGTATCTAATAGTCCCTGCTCGAGGCCTGTTTGGCCTGGAACAATTTAGGAACGGGTGAACCCAGTCATACTTGGAGTGGGCCGGGAACTAGTTTACTTCGTGCCTTCTTCGCGTCAACTGGTCAATTCACGTGAATTCGCACGAACTTGACAATGCCAGCTCGGCTGCCCTCAACTTCATGACAAACTTCCTTGTGGTATCACAAATTCACAACGCAAATCTGTTCGAGGCCGGATCGGCTTATTCGGGGACTGCGCATGCCTGTTTCGTAGGGGCTCCGTCGGCAACCCCTATGCCGCCTAACCAAACATGTGCCCAGGATGCCGGGCACACTGCACCGGTCAATGAAGAGCTGACACTCCAGTTCTTCGGACTAATTTAACTAATGAAAGGGAGGGCAAGCAATAGACGAGACACATGCAACTAATTCGTGTCACGGGTGGCACAGACAGTAGCCTCGTGATTTAATATTAAGCAAACTCATGATTTACTAGTCCCACAGATGTTCCTCCAAGCTGCTGGAGATCGCACAAAGGTTGGCAGACTCACGACTCAACTCTCCGAGGGAGGCCAATATTATCAATGGAACCGGGGAAGGAACAATCTTTACAGGAGTTTGGAGATTTGAAATCCTTGGGGTTGCTTTCAAGGTGATGGCAATGGGCTGCGTAGTCTAATATTGAGTTGGGGTCGGTGCTTTTGGGGGGGGCGGGGGGATTCGAGGAACCTCCCCAACAGATCATGGCTCCATAAGGTTGTAAATTTTTTGAATGTCGCGGAGCATGGCCTCGTGGTCGATTTTCAGATCCTTAAGCAGGCCATCGCGGAAGTCAAAGACCCATCCGTGCACGACAGGATACTGGTTTTTAGCGTAGGACTCTTGCACGCTGGCGGTCTTGATAACGTTCTTGCACTGCTCTATGACGTTGAGCTCGACTAGCCGATCGAATCTCTTCTGGTCATCCTTGATAGCGTCGAGCTCGGTTTCGTACAGTCTGTAGACGTCGCGGATATTTCTCAGCCATGGATTGAGAATTCCAAGATCCTTGGGTGTCAAGGCAGCCTCGACTCCTCCGCAGCCATAATGGCCACAGACGACAATATGCTTGACTTTGAGATGCCTCACAGCATACTCGATGACTGCCATAGAGTTGAGGTCGATGTTGCAGACTAGATTGGCAATATTGCGGTGGATGAAGGCCTCGCCGGGCTCAAGGCCGGTGATCAGCTCGGCGGGAATCCGGGAATCGCTGCATCCTATCCAGAGATATTCAGGTTTCTGGCCTTCGCAAAGCTTGTTGAAGAACTCCGGATCCTTCTTGCGCTTGCTGGCCGCCCACGCGCGATTATTGTCGAAAACACGGCTGTGGCTCTGTTGGAGGTAGCTGACGATATCTTGACTGCCTCCTTCGCCCATCGTGACGCGTTTGGCCTTTTTGTATCCGTCGTAAGAATGGCTATGGGAAGAGCAGAATCGAAAGGATGTACGGGCAGCAGTTTTGGTTGCCCCAAGGTGATGGAAACGGAGCACCGAAATCCGGGCTAAAATGCGCATTTTTCACTGGGGGAAAAGAGGAGAAGGCGTAGCTCAACGTAGCGCTGAGTCAATGAGATCAAGCTGGATCAAGGTTTTTCCCCGGGCCACCATCCAAGTCCCCGACCATTCATTGTTGTCGATTCTCCACCAGAAACACGCTAATTAGAAATCTGCCGCTTTTCACCACCTTCGTCGACATCAAATTCGCAGTAAGGTTTCGTTGGGCGAGCCACTCATTAACCCGCATTGAACCGCGCCCCGGATTCCCATCGGCTGAGGTTATAAATGCTGACCAGTCAAAAGACCTGCCAGGACCCGAAGCGGGAGGATTGTTGCACGGCCAGACAAAGTCAATTAGGCCAGGATAGGATTAATCTTTCTAGACTTGAAAGGTAACCTTTTGTGGATGGGGCAGAAGGGACGAAAAATAGAGGCGAAGAGGACGGTAGAGGAAAAAGAAAAAAAAATTGCGATTTTCTAACCTTCTAAGAGCTCCAATGACAGCTTGGCCACTGATCACGGTACTACCGCTTGAGCTGCTCGGTTGGAAGTTCTTTCCCCAAAGAGCGCCGGGTCGGAAAACTCCGGGACGCGAAATGAAGGACAACTGGCTTCTAGGACATCCCGGCTTCAATCATGCACCAGATCCGTCTGAACACAGGTCTCTGTAACAGACGTAGCACAGACTCGATCTCGGAGCGATCCAATTTGGGAACCTGTCCACCCCGCACTCGAGATTCAGACACACGCTCGACGGCGTTGATGGCTTTGTCCGTGTCCTCATCCTTGTCTCCAAGCCAGAGAATCCTGTCAATGGCGCGGTGGTAGATGCGGTGAGTCATGGCGACGTGGCACTCCCGCTCTGCATCTTCTTCCATATTGATACAAAGGGCATCGATCCAAACTTTCACGGGTAAGTATTTATCTCGAATTTTTCGGAGGGAATCTCTCAAGCTTGTTGACACAGGAAACCTTCTCTCCTGGGAGTAGACGGGATGTCGGAACTCGTATTGTCACCGTCGCTCTGCATCCTGGGGCATCCGCTGGCCACCCACAATAAGCTGGTCATCCTCTGAATCTACTCGAGTGTACGAGAGCGCTCGGAACGGAGGAAGATTGAATGCATCGAGCTTGTAGGTCTGGATACTGCAGTGGATCGGGGATGAGAATGCTCCCGGGAGGAGCTCAGCCAGGCGGAATTCTTCCGAGTCGAGACTGGTGAAGACGAATGCCGGATCGAGGGTGTAGATCCAGGAACTTCAACTGTGAAGGGGCCGTCATCGCATTCGATAAGGGCGACAGGCCGACGCCCATTCCCTTCATCCTGTAATGGTTCAACCACGTTAAACGTCTGAACGCGGATACTCAAGTTTTATAGAATAATCTTTCGAAAAGCCAGCGTTAGGAGACTCTGGTAATACCCACCGCCTTGCAGTCATGGGGCCTTCAACTCTTCAACTTGAACCAGGATCCTCTTGTCAGAGCGGGAGTTAATTGAACCGATGCTTTAAACTCCTTCTAAGTACTGTATTGGTGGAAAGCGAAATAGGTACATATCCGGACTTATATCTGATACTCTTCACTTCACATCGGGTCTCTGGGTCAAGAACAAGCTAGTATCGATGCATTCCAAACAGTGTTGAATGACGGTGATAGGTAGGAGTTCACGGCCATTTAGTCACAAAGTAGAGGTGCAGTATTTTGAAAGACTCATACATCATCCACTCCTGTTAAATTCACTCCCTGAAAACGGACCCCACCGAAAGGACATCGAGCCGGTCCCGTTCATTCTCAGTCAAGGGTTCCTGCCACCGCTTCGGGTCAATTTTAAACCCGCGCCGATGCCACTCCTCAAACGCCGCCATGTCGACGGTGTGATAGGGGATGTCGAGGTCGGCGGCTACCTGGCCTTGGAAGATGCTGTCGGCCAAGCCGAGCAACGACTTCTCTTTCGGCACGCCCATGATCTCCATTCGCCGGCGCTCCTTGTCCTCCTCCTGCTTCAGCATCTGCTCGTACTTTTTCGAACCGGGGTTGAGCCTGGGCTTGCTCCGGGGTCTCGTGGCTGCTAGCACCTTTTTGTAGCTGAGTTTGTACCCGAGCACGTCGCGCACGGGAAGGCCATCGGGTCCCCTGTTGAGCACCTTGGTGACTTCTCCCGATTTTGATAGCGAGTTTTTCATGGTCTTCGTGATGACATCGCCGGGGCGGCTGATGGAGCGTTCTTTGCTAGTTTTTCGGGTCTTGGGTGGTTGCCAGGCTGCAGAGGGAGAGGCATCTGTTCCGGGAGAGGCGGTTGTCGTGGTTGTGGTGGATTTCTTTGCTGTAGATTTTGTGGGAGTAGATTTCTTGATGGGAGTAGGTCGGGCAGCACGGCGGGCTGTTGCCCTCGTTGTCGCTCTTGTAATGGCGGGCATCTTTGAGAAAATGGAGTAGATGGTGTGCTTTCTATACACGTAGAAAAGGGGATATGACTCTAGAAGATGAGGCCGGCCTCATCCCTTGGTGGTGTGATAAATGTGTGCTCAATCAACGATGTGATGAAGGCCAAAACGCGTTGGGGCGACGCGACTGCCTCATGCTAATTTTGGAGAGCCCGACACTCGTTTGATTACGTTTGATTACGTACAGCTAGGCGTCCCACTAAAGTCTCCAAAGACGGTATTGATTAGCAAAGGTACTTCGGGTGACTTTTGCGCAACATTCTTCAATCAAACCCAAAATCCACTCCACTAAGTGATTTTCCCAGGTCGCGATGCAAGTAATGTTACATTCCCGTTGGATCTGCCACCAATGTTCTATTTCTGCTCTTCTTCAGCCTGATTGGGAAGTTTCGCCTTTCAGTAGAGTATCGTGACCCGGCAATACACGACACGCAAAGTGTAAATTAAGCCTCAGACGCCAACTATCCTCCCACCATCGGACATCACCCCAGGCCGATCAGGCGACCACAAACCCAACCGCGCCAGCTAGGGCCCCTAACGCCCAAGCGATACTGCCTTGCAGACTCCTCGCTGCACCCTCTCCCGAGCCCCCATTCCCGAGAGGAAAGCCTCTTCCTAGAAACGAATCTTCATCATATAAATCATCCTCATCCTGGTCATCGTCGGCATCGGTATCATCGTCGGGTACGGCCGGAGGCGGCGCAGCGGTCGGCCTCGCGGGCGGTTCTGTCGCCGTTATGCTCGGCTCCGCAGTGAGCGAAGCAGGGGTGAAGAACTTGGCGTCGGTGACGAGCGGGAGCACGGTCTGCGTATTCTTGTAGCCGTCGGCGGTCATGAAGAAGGTCTCCCATGTCGTGCGCAGGTTGTCGGACACGCCGCAGCCGGGGGTGGCAGCGGGAGACCACTGGCAGAAGTGGACGTACGTTCTAAGAGCAGGTAGAATGTCAGGTTAGCGACGCAGATGCTAAGGCGTCGAGGGAGAATCGCATTTGGGAACTCGAGAGACTCACACGGTGCCGTCATATTCCGTGTGTCTGGCGCGGCGGGTGTTTTGCGTGAGCGTAAACGGCGTGAGGGTGCTGCATACATCCGCCGTGGCAGTCTCCGGACACCCAATCGAATAGTAGGTGCCACCGCCCATCTAGAGGTAAAGTGCGCACGTTGGTCAGGGACATTGCTGCGATGAAAGATTTTGGAAGTCGTTCTGAGAATGATGTGTTTCTTACCTCGGACAGACTGGAGGCGATCCAGCCAAGTCCATGTTCCCAGGCCATCGACACGGTCACGCTATCCTGGGCCAGCGCGACCTGGCAACTCCAAGCTGCGAGGAACAAGGCGTGAAAATTCATGGTGGCGGAGAGTTTTGATGTGTTTGGAGCGTGTCTTCAAGCGGTGGGCGCTTTTACGCGCGCATGAAAAGCAAAGGGAGACGGAAGAGTGCAAAAACCCCGCTTCATCGGGGGAGATTATTGAGGTTGGGTGTTGTTCTTTTTTGAGGTTTGTTTCCCCAGCTTGGATGTGCAGGATGCCAAGATGCCAAGCACCGATGCTTACGAGGGCGTTGGTTGTATCCTGGTCTTGGCTTTTACATGGGGATCCTGCAAAGGCTACCTGCGCGGCGTTTGGCGATAGGTAACAGCTTTTGTTTCTGGTTCTCTTAGGTCGCAGTAATATCAAGGTAATGTTTCTTACGGATTGTTATAGACCAAGACTGGCGTGAAACTGAAATGTAGGATACAGCTAGGTGTGTTAGGTATTTAATACAAGTGTCCAGTGTCAACCTACGCATATAGTGTGGTGGCGACCTTCTGGTCTCAAATAGTTATTTGCCATAAAACTATTGTTAGAAGGTCAAGCATAACTAGCTGCTAGCAGCCTTATTTTAATATTGATCAATGATCTATGTAACAGTATGGATTACTATAGGTTGGGGACATGATGTAGAGAGCGGAAAATTTTGTGAAAATATCATCTGCATGGGCTATAAATGGGTACTTTGAAGGTAGCTAATCTCGCATTTTACCAAAAAAAAAAAAAAAAAAAAAAAAGGAATAAAAAAAAAAGCTAAAAAAAAAAACTGGGTACAAGCCAGGGTTCTCCCAGCGCTGTATCTAACAATTCCTTTACTCTCGCATCTTCCTCCAGCTTAATCCCTGCTCCTTCGCTCGGTCTGCAACGCGCACGCAATCGGTAAAATGTCGGTTCCACAGCTGTGCGGCATGAAAGGGTGTGCGTGCGGAGCTAGAATTGCCAGAAGTGGAATTCCAAAGCTGAGGCGGATTGTGATCAATATTGTGATTCTGCATTGAAGGTACAGCCTCTGGCTCTTCTAGGAGGCCTAAACCAACCACACATCCAACCAATCACGGCAAGTTGAATTCTATCGAATATCACTTCAGTTGTCGGTGGCCTGAACTAGAAGTTGACAATAGTTCGCCCCAAGGAAGCCTGCAATGTTCCGTGGGTCACCCACCCCCCGGAACAGATACCAGGCGCACAACCGTGGCCCCGCGTTGCGTAGACTTACTGAGTCATGCAAGCTCCGTCTGATCGGATATAAGTGATCAGGGAGGGAGAGGCATCATTGTTATCTGTTTATTACGTAGAACTCCTCGGCCATACGCCAAATTCAAAGAGTCCAGAAGCTCTGCCTGCTACATTGACTCGAATGTTTGGTAGGTCAAGGCTTTGATAAAGAGCGTCAATACTCCAACATCTAAAAACATTACGCCTGAGGAGGGTTATTCGCGGGAGGATGAGTTGGAGAAGAGTGAATAGGTAAAGGGCCGGCGTTAGAAATCTCGGAAGGGGAATGGGCGGGGCCCGGCTGAGATACAACTTGGAGATCGGATCCCACCGGGCGACTTGCGGGAGTCGAAATCGAGTAGTTCTGCATGGGAGGTACCTGGTGAAACAGCACAGGGGGGAAGATAGTGACAGCTGGGGCAGCAGCAAGGTGAGCCTGCTGACCATTGGGCGGGGCGGCGATGCCAAGCTGGACCTGCTGGGCCTGATAGAACGTGGAGGCGTTTTCGGAGCCCTTGAGCGGCACGCCATCACGACCGACGATGATGCGGATGGCGCGGTTCCGGACACTGGTTTCCCAGCAGGCGATGACGAACAGCACGAAGTGCACGATACTGGCGGATTGGCGTTAGCTGGATGTGCGGGCACCAAAAACCTTGCAGGGAAGAGAGGAGAAAACAAAGACGTACGTGATTATGACTCCCAGGGCGACAAGGGCGTTGCGACGCGCCGCGCTGCCCGTTCCTTCGTCGTCATAGCCGATGGCGCAGAAGGACCCAGCGCAAAGCAGGCCCGTAAGGGCGACACCAGTTGCCAGGGTAAGCCAGAGGAAGGAATCGCCGTAGGAGTAGTAATAATAATCGTCATCGTCGTAAGAGGTGGCGGCGATGGCAGCGACGACACCGAGGAGCGCGATGCCCAAGATCAGGGAGAGGGAGCGGAGGACCGTCTTTGAGATCCACATGACTCTCGCCGGGGCTTGGATGACCTTGATCGGCCGCTCCATTGTCGCGAATCGTCGTGACCGGAGAGGTTTTCTTCGGCAGCTCCAAGAGGACGCGCGACTCAAAAGGACAAATGAGACACGAATTTTCTGTTTCTCTCGTTGGGAGTTCGTGAAAGGTGAGGGAAAAAAGATCAAAAGATTCAAAGTTATGACGACGAAAGCACAGCCAAAACAAACGAGGAGGGGTGGGTGTGGAACCTGGTAGATAAAAATAAGCATCTAATTTTAAATTGGTTCCGCGCACCACGGCGAGGCTTGATTGGACGTTTCTGGTCTGCGAAGCGAAGCGAGGGATCTCAGCCGTGAAAGGAGCTGAGAGCCACCACCGCTTTAAGCAACCCAGGTTCTATACGGACCCCGTATTGTACGGGAAATCAACGGCTGACCCCAGAACCTAAACAGGTGGAGCAAAAGCAAATATTGATGGATGGGACTTAGTGACCACACCGAATGGGGTAGAGGCACTAAGCCATATCAGGATGCTTTTGGAGCTGGAGTTGATATTTATTGGGCAGTTTGCCTTCTCTCGTTTAGCTGTACAGAACGGAAGAGTGGACTAAGTCGCTCAGCTGCTCGCGAGATCCGAGCCAACTTGAGCATAGCCATGACTATGATTTGTTCACCTAGTAGTGATAACAAAGAACTCGGCCTTAAACCCCGCGTTGATTGACTTGAAACAACTTCTAACCCAATCGCCACTACCAAGGTAAGTCGCGATGAACGAGGCCTCGACAGCGGGCGGCTCGCCAGGCAACCCAGTCGACCTACCGCGACGCGACGTATGCAAGGACCTACGCCTTTGGAGGTACATATCAAAATTCTATTTCTATTATGAAACCAACAGCGACTACATCTCGTAGCGGCTCTACGCCCTGGCAGCCGAGTTCGCCAGCACAGCGGCGACCTTCCCCTACTGCAACCTGATCCTAGCTTCCATTTAGGCATTGAAGAAACGGATGATCCAGGAGGTCATGGGCCTGTCGGAAACCATCAGCATCTGAAAGAGCGAAACTACCCCATCTGCGTGAACTACAGTTCGGATGGTGTACAGCATGCGTGAGAGGTCTACCCTCACATCCCTCCCCGTGACGTCGACGGCCAGTTGCATGCTCTCGCCGACGCGAAACCAGCAAAGCGAGAGAACGGCATAGAATATACCCAATGGCTAGACCTACTAGATCCCTTTGGATACGGGGAACATGTGAGCATGAGCAAGGACAGTCAACAGCCGCCCACATGTGCAGCTGCTAGCTGTGCAAGTTCGCCTCAAGCCACGCCTCTTGCCCTGCCAATGTCAACATAGAACTTCCCATACAACTCATCGATATCCCACAGGGGTTGTTGGAATCCTATACCTATAAATTAATCCCCTCTATATTATATACGATGACAATAACTAACATATGGAAGCATTATTAAATATGTTATTACCTATCTACACTAATGCTATACTCACCATGTCTACTATAACATCATCCAGTATATAATCGGGCCTCTTTCCAAGATAAAATCTAATATACTACGGTCTCAACCACTCCAGGCGCTGCGTATTTTGACAACCTCTTCATGAGGCCGATCCTCTTTGATGTATACAATCTCCTCTTCTTCATAGATATAAGCTCTCTAAAACCAGTTAATGAGGAGCTTGACATATGTCTAATTATCAGTTGTGTAATTATGGATCTTCTAGGAGCGCCTGCTTCCCCTGCAAACTATCTTCCTGGGGAAGCAGGAACTCCTATTGGAGTATCTCGCCAAAGCCATACCTCTCGTCACTCAAACTTGAACACAGTCTTCTGCCCATGCCTAAGATCCGGCCCTCCTCCGGCCTCAGAATACGACGCCCACCCAACCCTCTCATAAACACGCTCCTGTTTTTTACCCCCCGGCACCCACCCGCCTCAACACGAGAATTCACCGTCTCCGTAACCGTGAACCCAGGATTGAACCTGAAGCGAAACTCCACACTATCCGCCTACCCCACCACCGCCCGTTTCGCCAGCGGTATCAAATGCACTTCATCGCCGGGTCCAACGTGTGGGCCGCTCCGTCCGCCCAATCCCTCCACCACATCAGCCCTTTTTCCTTGATGAGCCCGAAGAGCTTCCGCGTCACCACATCGTCCAGCCAAAAGTAGGTGCCCCTCCACGAGGTCTTGCGGCTCCATCTCGAAGGCGGAAGCGTTCCTTCCACCGTGAGAAACCCGCTTAAAATCCGCCCGTGGGGATCTCCCTTGGCGAGCTGCAGGATTTGCGGGCTCAGCCGTCTCTCCTGGACACCCACACTCAGGTGAGGAGGGGGAAGAACTGCTTGTCCGGGTAGGCCGTCCTGTGGATGATGTGCGGGACCTTGGGGCGGACGAAGACGCTGTGCGTTATTCTGGTGGTCCCTGCCTTTGTGCTTGACCCTAAGCTTGCGCACGCTGTACCCGCCGTCATGGTCGGCTACGCTAGTGGCGGCGAGGCAGATGTAGCAGTTGCCGTAGTACGAGTGCATCTTGGCTGATTCGATGCCCCCAGTCGATTCTGCACTATCCTGGATGATGCGCAGTGCGCCGACGTATGCCCGGGAGAACTAGTCATTTGTAATGGATTTTCCAAATTTCTCTTATTCCATCAATAGACTGCGAACGCCTGTTCAATTTAGGGAAAAGTAGTTGGCCAGTTATCCTTCATCATGCAAGGCAGCGAATTCATTGTCAAGAGAAACTACACTAACTATGTATCGACCCACGCCGTACTAGACCAGCCTTTGGATCATTGCTTGACGGGAAGCGGAACGATTTGAATCCCTTCCAGCTCTTCCACGGGCACCTCTATGTGCTCGGTCTCCTCCACGACAGCGGGATCTGGATTCACATACGTGATGTACAACATCAAGTCCTGATACTGCGAAAAGGCCACATCCTTGAACGTAAATACGTTCCCTCCGGGAAACACATAGTCTCGCACAATCTCTACAGGTACGGTAGGCACTTTCGTACCTACCGTGGTCTGAGCCGTGTTAGTGATCTGCGTAATAATGTGGTTGATCTTGCTAAAGGTGTCGAAGAAGGCATGGGCGCGCTGAATCTCGGTCTCGCGCGTTGGGTCCAAGTACTCCCTGCGCTCACTCACCAGGCGGCCCCACTGGTCGACGGCGAGATCGTACACCTCGGTCAGCGCCACGGCTACGACGTTGCCGCCCTGGTCGTCGAGGAACTTGGAGATCCGCACGTTGACATACTTCTCCTGCTTGACATAGATCCTGGTATCCTGGAACGTGACTTCGCAGCTGTAGTACGTCGCCACACGCAGGCTGCCCAAGCTGCCGTTGCTTCCGGCGTGGTCGAAGCTCTCGGCGCCGTAGTCAAATTTGAGCACCGTGGGCCCCGTGGCGGGCGTGGTGATGTTGGGCTGCTGGCCGGGATCCAGGCTTAGCTTGTACACGGCGTCGACGAGAGGCGTGCCGATGGCGGTTTTTTTGACCGAGACGGTGACCTTGGGCTTGAACATTTGCGTCCGGACGTATGTCTCCAGGTTCTTGCGGAAGTGGTTCGTTAGCGTGTTTCTGTTGATGGAGATGACGCCGTCGTGGTTCTTGATGTGGTTGACCGTGGGCACCCAGTTCCAGGTGATGGCTGGGTTCGTGGTCGGCAAGTGATTGTTGTCCGCAGCGCAGAGGTAGTTGAGGGTCGAGAGCCGCGGTCGTTCTTCCTCGGTAGGCATCGGGTCCGTGTTCTCCACGACCTTGTACGGCGTCACGCTGATATCCATGTCCGTCAGCGTCATCGTCGGCGTCGGTACGCTCGTCTTCGTCGTAGCCAGCTTAAGCACGGCCGACCCGAGAATGGGCTCACCGAGTCTTTGCATCTCCGCAAAGTAGTGCTCCACGAAATAGCGCCGGATGATGTCGTCTACAAAGTCTGTCCTGTGGACAAACTCGACCGACGAGTGAAGTGTCGCCTGGGTGAGATTGAACAGGAGCTGCTGCACGCCATAGACGTTGGAGTCGAAGCTCTTAACCCTTCTCTTGACCTCGGGGCTCAAACGGGCGAACTTGGCCTCATCTTCGCCCTCTAGTGTTCTGAGACGCAGATCGACGTTTGCCCGCACGATCCACGGCTCATCGTGAAGCTCCTGCGCATCGCCGGTAAAAGTCACGCGCAGCTGGAAGGGGTCGAAGTCCGCGCGAACGAAGCGGAACTCGGAACACAAAAGCTGGAAAGTAACCTTGGACGCGTACGAGTTCAACTTGACCGTGTCAGGCGTCTCTTCGTGAGGTGGTTTCCCCAGGCGCGCTTTAATGCCCGTGACGAACCCCAGCTTGAAGAGCCGCATCACGGCCTCTTCTTCTTCTTCCGTCCGACCCTCGAGCGGGATATCGAACGGGTCGGCATTGGCAAGTGCCTTGAACTCATCGTAGGAAGTGAGCTTTGGGGTTGCTTGGGGTTGCATCCGGTCGCGCACGTAGATGAGGTAGATGGGCTTATTGTGCGGATCCTCGCCCAAAGTCGAGAGATAATCGGCCATGGTGACGTTGATACTCTCCTGAGTTACGGCGACGACGTAGTCGTAGCCAAGAGCTGAGAGATTCGAAGGCGGACGCGACAAGGTGGTTTTTGGGGGCTGCACTGGGAAGCCTGAACCTGGCAGACGCTGAATTTTGTCCATATTGGAGAGGATACTGGTGTGGAAGAAGGTGAAGCTTTGAAAAAATAAAAAGGTGTTAGATATCTGATGAAAAGGGTTTATAGTAGGAGGATACAATGAATGCCCACTTTCTCAGCCATTGTCTTGAGAGGATATTTATGTCATATCAACGGTGGTCCCGACACCTTTACTCCTATCATCGAACACAAGTTATCGACAAGAGGGAGCCCAGGTTCAACATCCCGTCGACTCTTATCGGCGACCATAATCAAGCATTCCTTCGAGATGTTGAAATCTGACGACTACACACACCTAGGAGGTGATTGATGTAATTTCACCAATCCCACCGAACCTCTTTCGGAAATATCGCCTTGGCGATGACAGCTGAGACACCATCAGTGTAGAGAAATAGATGCAGTGAGATCCGTATCATCACTCGATGCGACTCTGGCCCAGGTGCAGCTGGTATCGGGCATCGTGACCAACACGGACGGGGCATAACGGTGAGATCAAGGAATGTCACTCGAATATTCTGAGTGGCTCGTGTCATATCCTTGACTCCTTTCAATCCCCCGCATCATAGTGTTCGCCATGCTATATAGGAGACGCTTTTGTGTATGCCTGGCAGTCCAGTTTGCCCAATTAAGTCTGCTATCCCCCCATCGGGGCAGGCCGACATCAATACTGCAACGTCGCATCACGGCTGTACATCCAAGCTGGAGCATCCTGAAGAGGATTACCCCCATCAAATCCCCAACAATGAAGCTTGGCAAAATGACACGCTTCGGTCAAGCCGTGCACTGAAAATGTTTGTCAGATTCTACCACACGTCTCTCGGAGTGGGATACATCTGACCATGGCGAAGGTGATGCATGCCCGACAGCGCCAATGAAGTCGTGAATCTGATATTTTGAATTATCGAAGCAAGATGTCGTCAACTTCTATTCATCGAGTAGGGCCGAAATATACCCTGCGCGGTCTAGATGTGGCTAGCTAAGAAGGACATGGTCGACTTTTATTCCTATCGTATCAAAATGTCCATAAACACACCTTGATCCTGATCCACCATTGCCTTCCCGATCCCGAGCCCCTTCACTTTGCTAATTCCTTTTAACTTCAAAACTGGTATTGTCTCCTGGAAAACATCGTATCCCTCTCTCAAACACTTCCTTCGCTGATACCTTGAACTTCCCCTTGCAACAAGCCATGACGAGCGGCAATAGCGTGGAGATCTTCGTCGAGACGGAGCTTCTCGAGAACAAGAAGCATGCTGTCGTTCTTTCGCCCGAGATTGCCTTTGAAACTCTACAAACCCCCACCGGCTCCGCCCTCTTCTTCTCCATCGGCACCGACGGGATCTTCTATCTCACGCGCGAGATCGCCAGCTCCTCCACGGGCTGGACTCGCCGCAACCTCTCTAACGGCCTATCCGCCTTTCATAATGGCGCTTCGGTCCGGGCCAAGTCCTTTGACCTGTCTCAGAACAAGAAGACGCTCGCGTATGACCTTGCTCTGGTAGTCACGGTGGGCAGGGACGACTTCCTGTACGTCTCGCTCGGCAACGTGCATACCGAGGAGGCCTGGGAAGATGGCGTCCAGTGGGTGCCAGCCCGCTTCAATTCTACGGCGCACGAGCCGCCCAGTCCCTTAAAGATTGAAGGCGTCTACCTTATGAATCTGCCGCCAAAGACGGGCTCGACGCCGGTTCAGAACTGCTTCGTCGATATCCTCCGTCGAGTTAACGACCCCCTCAAGTTGCTTGATCGGTACTATATCGACCTCAAGGATGGCTCGTCGCCGCAGTGGAACCGACACACGCTGCCTATCGACGTCGGCGCTGGCTCGGTGACCGCAGCGCTGGGTCGCCGGCCGACGGACTCGGCCCCTGGGATCTTCACATTCGGCACAGTCGGCACGGCCAAGCAGCTGGTCTATCTCCCGCAGTACGTCAGTCGTACTTCGCTCGTCCCACCCAGGCCATCTCGATTGGTCACGCCGCAGGACCCGACCGCCATCGCATCGGCCTTGAACAAAGCCGGCAATACAAACCTGTTCCTGGCAGCAGCCGGAGGCCTTTATCTCTACACAGAGAATAATCAAAAGGACCAATCCGTTCCGGTCCTGGTCGTGCCATCAACCCTTGGTGGTCAAAATATCCTAGGCAAAGTTCTATCCCTGCACGCCTCTACCGTCGGCAACACAACGGCCGTCTGGTCTCTCAACACCCAAGGCAAGCTCGTCTACATGACCTGTCCTTCTGGCAGCGAGGCAACCCCCTCGGCATGGTCGATGCCTCTTCCCATCGCCAGCCAAGTGGAATCTTTTGCATTTTACATCAACAAGGCTGTCGGAGAGGCCAATATCGTCTTCTGCCATCTCGCGGGCGGCAAAATGCAGCAGCTATCCCAGGACCCTACAACCCTTGCCTGGTCCTCGCGGACTATCCTGCTCCCGCCTACCGAGGTGGAGGCCGTCTCATCATTCGATGCTTTTACAAGCCAGATTACTATCACAAAGGATGGTCTGCCCGCGGCAGACTTGCCCGTACATCTGATATCGGATAAGGCAACGACGTTCCAGGCAAACGACTTGTACACTGTGTTGAAACCCGGGGAGCCGCTCCCCGTCAATACTGACGGATCGGGAGTATTGACCGTGATCCAAGAAGCTAAGTCACTGGCGTCTGGAGTCTGTTTCCGCGTGCAAGTTCCAGGAGACCCAGATATCGAAGCGCTCATCGACCCGCTAGCACCTGCCATGCACAAGCTCTCAACTATTAAGACGGGGAGCGATTTTGACAAGTTCGAGGGTTTGGTTCGAGGGGACGTGCCGGCCGGCGACAAAGACTCCGCTGCGGAAGTTATTCAGAAGCTCAGTCATGTGAGAAACGAGCTGCCCGCTTCTATTACGTCTTCTGCGACCGCCTCTGTTCTCCAGACGGCGACCGAAACACCAGCAAACTCGGGTGGTTTTGGCTTGACCATTTCTCCCGCAGGTCCACAACTGCATAATCTAACTCCCAACGCACCCCAGCACCGATCCACCAAGAAGGTAAAATCAGGTGGCATCCTGAGCTCGCTGATGCAGGGCCTCGAAGTGATCAAGATGGACTTTGTGCGTCTGGGTAACGGAGCCTGGAAGGTGTTGGTCAGTATCAAAGACACCTTCATCGAGCTAGGCCTCCTGATCAAAGACGAGATCGGTCCGCTGCTCGACCAGGCTCTCGAATGGGTCAAAGCCACGTGGGAGACGATCAAGACGGCCTTTCTCGACATTTTTCTCCCGTGGTCGGACATCAAGAGGACCAAGGACGTGTTCAAAGCTATTTTCAACTCGACGGCGAACAGCATGATCGAGGGGATCCAGGATCTCGAAGACCGAGCCCATGAGTTCTTCACCGACCTCTCCGATAATATCCAGCCCTTCAAGGACGGAATCGGTCGGAAGAGCAAATCTACGGCGCAGCTGCAGAGGGAAAGAAGGCAGGCGGGCGTGGAGAGGAACCCAAAAGCCAACTTCTTTTCTTACCATCTCATGAACGCGACCACGTCGCTTTTCGGGGACGACGACCAAACCGCCATACAGAACGTGGCTGTATCCCAAGTGGCAGAGCTGCTGCAGAACTTGATCGACCTGGTCGAAGAGCAGGTTGACGTTTTCAAAACTTCGGCGGAGGATATCAAAGACATCATAGACAACATGGGCACCATGGAGCCCGTAGAGGTCCTGATAGCGCTCGCAGCGATTTTCGCGGATGTATTCGTGGATACGGCAGGAAACGCCATCAACAAGCTCATCAGGTAAGTTAGACCCGAGCGACTAACACCAGAGATTGGAAGCATGATGATAACCCCAGATGCCCTTAGGCTCTTCCGACTCCTGATTTCAGGGGTGGTAAACATCATGAACGCGAAGATCAAGATTCCCGTCATCTCACCCATGTACAAAGAGTTCGTCGGGAGCGACTTGACTTACATTGACGTCGTGTGCCTGGTGATTGCGTGTCCCGCCACCGTTCTCTGCAAAATCTTCACCGGCGGCGACGCTCCGTTTCCCGACGAGCCGCGCACGCACAAGATCATCGCGTCAAAGACCCTATCCGAGCTGAGAACACACATGTGGCCGGGGAAATACTACTACGTGGAGGAAGAGCGCCAGAGGATGGCAACCCAGGCGTCCATAGTAGCTACTCACGACCTCATTTCAGTTGACACTCGTGCGGATAATATTTCCGCGCAGCAACCCATGGAAAAGAGGGGAGTGGAACAGAAGACCCGCTTCCTAGTGGAGATACCGCACGAAGAGCTGAAAAAGCGAGCGGACAAGCACCTCAAAGACGCCATAGACCGCACCGACTTCGCCCTAGCCCTATGTGCGTCCGTATGCGGCCAAGTTTTTGTACGGTTCAAGACAATCCAGGTGATCTCGCGCAAGGGCCGAGAGAAAATGAGTCCGAACAACGAGGCGCGCGAGACCGACCCGCTCGGCCGCTCGGTGGACATCATCACGACGGTATTCTACCTGGGCGTGATCGCGCCCAACGCGACGTCGTTTGCCAAGGACTGGAAGCCCGACAGCTGGACATACGGGAACGGGGCCATCGCGATGACGTCGTGGCTCAAGACGTTCCTCGACCTCGTCCCGTGGGACGACATCCGAGACGCGCCCGGCAAGATCGTGCTCAAAGCGGACGGCACGTTCGGGATGCAGCCGAAAGCGTACTGGCAGGGCTATATATCGCCGATGCTCGACACGCTAATCTCCCTTGCGTGGACGGCCGTGACGCTGAGAGGGTACATTGTAGCGAAGAAGAGACCGGAGTCGGTCCATCTGAGCTTCGTTTACAACATGTTTGGCAACATTGCCGGGTATTTTGCGTGGTGCCAGATGGATCCCGTCCCGGACAAGATCAAGTTGGTCGGGGCTATAGGTATGAATGCTGGTATGTACTTCTATAGCTTGTTTGCGTTGGCTCAAGGGCTGGCGATTTTATACGAGGATGACTAGCGGATTTGGGGCCTTGGTTTGATGGCAGATAGCGGAGTGTCTTCATGTTGTTTTGCACTACGAATAGGGCCATCAGAAATCACGGAGACCAGTGTCACGTATGTGCTAGAGTAACGAATCGTAGGGCCTGGCAAGATGTCGCTTTCGTCAAGGTGAATCTATAATATGAGAAGGAGCCCTGACCCTCAAGAACATCCGACTTGAGATTCCAGCTGGTGCCATTACAAAGTAGGAGGGCCTTCATGAAATGCGGCTGGCGGTATGTGATGTATATAAACAAAATTCCCGGTTTAAGGACGCGATACATCTTTGTTTTAGTATTGTAAAGGTACGTAAATCTGTTCCTTTGATCCGTACTTCTCGGATAGACACTTGCTCGTGTTCTCCCTGACATCATTTGATGGATCCCAAGGGCTACTGTGGATTATATCATCTGGTGTGGCCTTTATCCAAAGCAACACCCATCAAGTCCGACGGGATAGTGTCCATGTGGCGTACGTCGCGCTTTCTACATTCAATACCTTGCCAGGCTGCATGGCGCTCGGACATGAAGGCTACGACTGTTGAAAAGGTCGAGGCAGATCTGATCGCTATAACCTCTTTCAGCTAGACATTCCGGTATAGTCTATAGTTTATGGATTAAATCTTTTAGTGACTTTGGCGCTAATTTCCCTTACTTATGCTAATATCGCCTGATCCAAGATGCAGCACCTTAGTTTCAGACCCCGGTCTGCTCACCCGGGGCGACTTTCGAATACTGATCGGAGTCGGTCCCGGATCCAGCGCAGGCCATGGTATACGCACGAATCGAGTCTGAGAGGAGTATTGTGACTATAGCACCGCTTCGATGCGCTACGGCAGAGAAGGCGAGATTGGTGCTGCCAAGAACGCTGGTCACCACGGTCGGTTAGCTCAGTTGGTTAGAGTGTGGTACTAATAAACTACCCGGTTTATCAAGTAAATGCCAAGGTCGTGATTTTGACCCTCATACTGACCATGTTCGACTTGCTTTTGTGATTTTTATTATCTCTCGGGGCTATTGAGTTGACCCTCTATTTTCCTACTCTTTTTTTCATCACTTGATTTCTTTCAAAACGCCATTCATTATTATTTCGAACAGATCGCAGCTGCAAGTATCCAGAATACGAGTGTGGAAGTTTTGATCTTTCCTTTTGGCTATACGCAGGGGCTAGGCTAAAACGTAGTCACCCGAAGAATACAATTGTGAAAAGTACGTTTGATTTCACGAGATCAGATAAAGACGATCAACATCTCAGTGCGCGGTGCAGTATGGGTTGTGTGCAGGTAATTTGCTAGTCATCCATCTTATAATCTGCATAGGATCTGTTAACTTTTACAACTAAGAAGCATTAGCCTGATTGTTGAGTAAATCTAACACCTCCATCAAAACCCCATCACAGGATGGCTCATCATTGACACTAAGCATCCCTTAAGGCCATATTAGACTTCTCCACGCCTCTGTCCCTATCAGAAACCCAGCGCGCCAATGCGCGTGGCCGGTTCTATTACCATATCCTCAGCCATTTTGACGAGCCCCAGCATGGATTTGACAACACCACCTATAACCGACCACTTCTTATCAAGCTAACCTATGAATATGCGGTCCCTGATGAATCTCTGGATACTATCCTCAGGGCTTTCTTCCAGGCTCTCAGTCTAGATTTGGACAACGATGTAGCTGATGCCATCCCTGACACCCAAGAAGAGCGGATCCGATCTGATGTGATCGGGTTCGCAGAATACTTGATGGATAATTTCTTCCTGTCCTGTACTCTTAACCACATTTCGTCCTAAGCTACTTCTAGTCCGAGTCTGGCTGATGGTGGGCTGTTGGCTTCTTTAGTACGAGCTACAACGGATAAGACCCCTCGCCCATAAAGGATTGCACAGTTGCCATTTCCCGCTTTATCTGCAACTCACAGATGTAGTTGTACTAGTGTGAGTGTACAAACTCAGTTATGACGACCTATTTAGCGATAGGGGTAGTAGTGATGCCTTGGGACATGGTGATGGGAATGCTGGGCTACTGGAAGAAGGGATGTGTGTTGAGGACATTAATACCAAACAAGAGGAGGTCCATGTAGGCTAGGTTGGGCACGTCAGCGGGGGTATTGGGAAGATGCCTTAAGGCGAGAAGAAGGTCCGTCTTTGCGTATTAATCTGCTCGATTTCAGTCAGCTTCAGCATGACCTCTTGCACGGACCCTTTTTTGTTGATGGCGGGCCGCACCTTTCTTTTTCTTTTTCTTTTTCTTTTTCTTTTTCTTTTTCTTTTTCTTTTTCTTTTCTTTCTAACTCAGTACGGCCGGGGGTTTTCAAGTTGACACGAACGAATGACCAAGGAAGCGAGCTGATGAGGGTTCAAAGCTCCAGAGGCACGCACGCAGTAGGGGCTACCTATAGATTTCTCAACGAAGATACGATTTAGACACTTCTATTTAGCCTCAATCTATAGTGCATTTGGTGCCACTGTAGTAAGTGAACCCTCTACCCTGTGCCCCAGTAATAATAAAGATGCAGCCTTGTAAGCAGTAAGCAGATATGCACCTTGGCCATGCAGTTCGAGAAGTAAATTAGCCTTGTCCTCCAATGACAGATGGCTTCCTTCCAAACCCAACAGCCTCCATTCACTGCAGGCATGTGCAAGAACTCATATCAAGTGCGGGTCCCTTGTCCTGTATTCATTTTCCGATAGTATTGATACATGTATGCCTCCTATATGTAGTCTTGAATGGTCCCTTGTCACCATCAGCAACGACATCAAAAGTACTTTCGTCGGGAATCTAGCCGGGTCCATCCCTTTGCGAGCCGGCGTTTGACGAGCGTGCGTATTTCCTCACTTTGACCTTCCTCCAAGCCTGCTGTGCCGCACGGAATTAAATAACTCTATACAGTCGCAGGTAAGCAGTATATTAAATCGCAGAGAGCCAATCGGTAGTACCTATAAAAAGCTTCCCTTGGCGCTGGTAGGGCTGCGCGGCCAGAAAAAAGGCAGATAGATGGTTCGCCGCTGCATCTAATACCATGAGGGCAAAATGGAACGGCGGGAGCGAATGTACCACGGCCGCGCACTCTAACACTTTGAGCGACCACAGCAGTCGGTGTGAAATATCCGGGAGCGTTGCTCCCACCATCTGTGTTGGCGCGGCCGTCTTCGTATCCCTCAAGCTTTAGATTGCGTATGTAAACGAGAACGACGCAGGGTCGCATTCAAGGATCAAAGGATATAGGGTTACCACGGCTGGTAGATTGCATGGAAAACAATACATTAATTCAAGGCGAACGCATGCTTGGAAGGCGGTCCACAGAATGTGGACGAACAGATAGGCATATAGCAACACTGGATATCTTCCCCAGCAGGTTCACTAGATTTCCCCTTGTTCGTAGGGCACTTTCTCCTAGTTGTTTCAAACCCCCTGGCGACCAAAAAAATATGGCTTCCACATTAGTGCATCTTGCTCTCTTCGGTGTGTTCCTCCTCGGAGCTACCGAGGCCGGTAATCCCTGGAGGTAAAGAACCTATCAAGACGTGGGCCAAGTCAAAACCTCGAAGCTAACACGCGAGTGTCCGAATTGAAGAAGAGAGACAAACGTCTACCCCGTTGACATCGTCGACCAGCTTCAGGATGAGGGGCTGGAACGGCTCGCCGCCTACATGGGAAACAATCCTGCTCCGTCCAACTGCACGCTCGAGACGGCAGTGAAGCGCATGGAATGGTAGTGTCGTGCTAATTCCTTACGATGACTGTTGTCCCACGCTAATGACCATATCCTTGCACGAAAAGGTCCGATCTCACCGTCGCCGAGCGGGAGGAATACGTCGAAGCTGTGCTATGCCTACAGTCCTCACCGTCCAAAGCTCCTGAAGGCGCGGCGCCCGGAGCCAAAACTCGATACGATGATTTCATCGCTATCCATATGCTATACATTGATACACTACACTCGCCGGTTCGTCGGACTGTCCCATATGGCTTATACTCTCGTTTGACGATGCACTCCTTCCCGCTCACCGCCTTTACACCTATCTCTACGAAAGGACCCTACGAGAGGAGTGCGGTTATACTGGGTACCAGCCGGTAAGCATATTACCTCAACCACATTGCTCCACGGAAACCGAATAGCCTCTAAGCACATTGGCTGATCGTGATAGTACTGGAACTGGGGCCGCTACGCCGACGATCCGGTAAGCTCTCCCCTCTTCGGCGGGAGCTCAGCGAGTCTCGGCAGCAATGGTGCGCCAAGTGAATTCCCGGATGCCAGGTTCCCTGGGTTTGCGCCGCCACTCAATGTGCTTCCTGCGGCTGGGGCTGGCGGGTGCGTCACGGACGGACCATTCAAAGAGTAAGTGAGGAGAAGCGCGGATGCACAAGAACCATGATACCGCGACAGGCGACCTTGCTCCATGATCCCATATAGTATCAGCTAATTGATGATTAGCATGGTTGTCAACCTCGGCCCTGTCGTGCCGACGTCTCCAGACGTACCTCCCAACCCGCAGCCGAACGGCCTCGGCCACAACCCCCGTTGCTTACGGCGGGACATCAACAAACACGCGGCCGCGGTCACCACAGCGCAGCATTCCTATGAGCTGATTACGGAATCCAGCACCATTGACGCGTTCCACAACAGGTTGATGTGCATGGGTGCGCAAAAGGACTGGGGGGTTCACATCGGGGGTCACTACACGATCAGCGGAGACCCAGGGGCTGTAAGTAGAAGCGAGGAAGACGCCAAAGTCTCATCTGTCTATCGCGGAAGAAGAAGAATAAAGTAATCTGACATGGAATCCAACAGGACCCATACGTCTCCCCGGGTGACCCGGCATTCTACCTCCACCACGGCATGGTCGACCGGATCTGGTGGATCTGGCAGATGCAGGAGCCCGAGACGCGCATGACCCTCGTCCCGGGCCCGGAGCCTGACGGTGTGGCGCCCATGGACTGGGCCACCACCCTGTTCGAGCGGTACGTCTCGGCGTATCCGTACAGGCCCGGAGAGGCGGGTTTCGACTACGAAGAGTACCTTGATACAGATGCGGTTGATTTCGGGTGGCTGGGCGAGCCGTGGACGTTGAGGGAGCTTGCGGATGTGGTTGGGACGACGGGTGGTAATTTTTGCTATATTTATGTTTGAAAGTTTATGGGAGAATATCCCCCCCCTTCCCCCCCCCCTTTTTTTTTCTCTCCGGAACGGACAGAATGTGGTGGAAAATGAGGGGGATTTCAGTAGCGATGCCGTCGTAGTTTGAGCTGGCGAGGAAATTACCGTCCTGTCTGAACCTAGACGAATGAATGTAGAGAACTTCAATGATACAACATCTTATCTAGGGAACCAGAAAAAGGGGGTGTGTGTGGTTTGGTGGGTTTACGAAGGAAGGTATTTTGGCTGCTAATTCTCTGGGAAAACCTAGATGTCCAACTATCACATCGTGATGGATTGAAGATTTTTCCCAGATGCGGACATCGTTTAACCTTGTCTCCGCAGCTGAAAAAAGGAGTAGAAAGGGACACAAAAAAAAATGTTTAGAGTATCAAGCACTGCGTAAAAAAAAATCCGTTAGGAACACAACTGTCGGATAGGCAAGAGAAGGGCCTCAAAAACTCACATCAAGCCGATGGTCAGGTCGCCCTTGACTGTGGCATACAGATTCAGATGCATCTCAAGATCCAGCTCGATCTTGATCCTCAAATTGCTGTTGTCCGCACGTGCAGCCTGCCGCTGCTGCACCGGAGCGATTCGCGACTTGCGCACGTGGTTCCGGCCCGGCATGCCCTCGGTGGGATCGCTCTAGCGCAAGACGGCAGAGGAATCGTCGTCTGTGAAAGATTGACTGGTACATAGCGGGGTTCACTCAATGAACCAGAAAATTTTTTCTAATCCTTTATGATCAAGCAGACTGTAGCCTAAGAGTTGTGCTCTGTACTAGACCTATCTAGACTGCCTGGTGATGCATAAAGAAAGTCAATCGCCTCGCCAAGAGAGCCGCATTCCTAAACGAATCGCTCACCCCATGCCCACCCGACCGATCCTCGTAGAGAAACGCATCCCTCGCGTCCACCTCCTTCAGCCTCGCAATCAGCTTCCTGGCGTGTCCCGCGCCCACGCGATCGTCCGTCGTAGAAATGGACGCGAAGAACGCCGGGTAGTCCACCCCTCTTCGGACGTTGTGCAGGGGCGAATACGCCCGGAGGACGGCCTCCATCTCCGGCTCGTCCGGGTGGCCGTACTCCTGCGCCCACACCGCCCCGGAACCGATGAGGTGGTACCGCAGCATATCGGTGAGGGGCACATCGGCCACCACCGCGCCGAAGAGATCCGGCCTCTGTGTTCCCATCACCGCCGCCAAGAGCCCGCCGTGGGACGACCCGAACACCCCCATGCGCGCCGGCGTCGTGAGCCCGTCCGCCACGAGCTTCTCCGCCACCGCGGCGAAGTCGTCGTAAGACCTCTGCCGGTTCTCCCGCACGGCGGCTTGGTGCCACGCCTCGCCGCGCTCGCTGCCCCCGCGGATGTACGCGACTGCTAGGGCGCCCCCCCTTTCGAACCACGGCACGATGGACACCCCGCCCACGAAGAAGTTGAGGTAGCCCGTCGTCACTGTGATGCCGAACCCGCCGTAGCCTGTCATCAGCAACGGGAGCTCTCCGGCCGGGTAGCTTGATTTGACGGGAGACAGGAGCAGGTAGTCGATCAGCGTGACGTCTTTGCTTTCAGCCACGCCTCTGGTGGCCACGAAATCGTCGCCGTTGAATACGGCTGCCTGCTCATGGAGTGTATGCTCGTCCTCCACATCCACATTTTCGAGCCAAAATCTCGCTGGCTGGAGGTACCCACCCTCGGATACGACCACGTCGTCGGTATATCGGTCCGATGCGATCACAGCGGCGTGTAGGCCGTCGCCTGTCGGCGTGGTCCGAACGAGCCTCCACGACGGGCTGTCGTATTCCAGAACCAGGCGGCGCTCGGCCCCGTTCAGGGTAGTGGTAAGGTACACCCGTGAGTGGCTAGCTCTCATCCCGTCGAGGACGAGGTCCGGATTGAACTCGTTCTCTTCGGGAACGTGTACGATGGTTATCCTGGATTCCGACGGCCCACCGGCTGCTTCCAAGTCATAGGCTAGGACTGTGCCGATCGGGAATTCGGTGCCATTGACGGTTGATGCTTGCGCCAGCGACACGACGAGGTGGCGGCCGGTTTGTATGTCAGGGGGGGTCATGGAGATTGCCGTTGGCAGCGGGACCTCTTCGACGCTGCCGTCCAGCGAGACAATGTAGTGGATGAGGGTGGAAAAGTCCACGTATCGCCTGATCAGCCCTCGATGGCTGCTTCCCGTCCCAAAGTTGGCGGTGACGTAAAGCGCGTCGGTCATCAGGCCCGCGTGAACGGGCGCAGCGTCTTCGAGGGGCGTCCCACGTTCCCATATGTACGCCGTGGTAGGCCAGCCGATGGCGTTGGTGGGACCTCCCGTCAGGGCGTGGGCGATGAGGACGTGATCGACGCCCAACCACGCCGCCGTCGTGCGGCCAGGATCGGTGCGGAAACCGTCAGCCACGATTTCTCCCGTCTCGACGTCGACCTCGCGGAATTCCACCAGTTCCGAGCCCGCGTTGGTCAGCTGGAGCAGCAAGCGCGAGCCGTCCGGGCCGAGCACGGCGCTGTTGAGGTTGTAGCTGTAAAAGTCGAATTCCTTGCCCTCTGCTTTCCCCAGTTCCCGGATGTCGATAACCTGCACCCATTCGTCCACGGAGCCGTCGAGCTTTCTGTCGGCCCTCTCCAGGATACCATTTTGGTTGGTGGCGTTCTTTTGCAGCCGGAAGAGCTGGCCGGCCATCCAGAAATCAGGATTTCGCGCGTCGCTGTCGGCGAGAGCCACGATTTCGTCCCGTAGGGCCTCGGCGTTTGGAAGTGCATCGAGCGCGTCGGTCGTGAGGTTGTTCTCGTGGCTGACCCATTCCAGGGCCTCTGGAGACAATTGTTCTTCGAGCCACTCCCACTTGCTCAGTTGGTCGGAAGCCCTGTCGGTTTGCGTTAGGCAAAGTCTATCGTGCAAAGGGTAATGGGAAGCCTTACATGAGGACTTGCTTGATTCCGTACGACAAGCAAGGCAAAAGTAGAATCGACAATAGGGAGGGAGGTCTCATTGTGATTTAATATCGGGTCAATCGTCCGTGGCCAGCTTATGGCTGGTATCTTCTTCTGGGGGATGATGGTCGAGATCTGAGAGTCCACGATCCAAGAAGAATCATGCAGCCGACCTTATAAAGAAGGAAATCAACATAATTATGTCCTCCGACTATGAAGTCGGTATGGATCGGTCTGGTGTCGTTCCTTCGTCAAAATTCGTCAAGCCTGAACCCTCTCACCTCCGAACGACGAACGAGGAACGAGGGAGGAACATCCTATGTCCGCGAGATGCAACCGCCAAGTTTCGCCAAGCCAGCTAATGCAGGCTTTTGTAAGACCCTTAGTCACCGTGGACGGCAGGACATGATCCTTCACACCCTCAGCTATATTGATTCTATACTGGCACTATTATAATTAATAACCAATTGGTCAGACGTGCTTGTCTGATTCATCTTGGTACGCCCTCTTACAAAGTACACGTCGCCCGGGTCATCGGATACTTCCCTTTCCTTGCTTGGGATCGAACTTTGCCTGGTTCATATGGGGCGGGGTTGAAGAAAGAGAGCGAGAAATGGCACTCAAATTCTTAGGCGCATGATGTACTGGCCTTCCACTACAGCGCTCCATCATGTTTCCGGGAGCCGCCAACAAATGAGCCATTTGGTATACCTTGCCGGGGAGGAGAGCATCCTTCGGAATCGTGCTTGCTGCCCTCACCCCATGGTAAACTTTTTTGGACCGGGAAAATTTGGCTCTTTTCGCTGACCGTTGCGTGACGCATGGCAGCCGTTATCAGGATAGAGTCGAAGCCTACCAGGCCCATTTAGAGACTTGAGTCTTTGTTTAACATGGATTGGCGTCGCGTAGCCATCTCTCAGATCTTTGTATTACAACCGGAACAGGAGAAGAAAAATAGGATAATCGTTCATTCCCCCTACAAACGAATGGCCCCGGTGGCCCTCGCTATCGTGCTTGAGGCGAACATCGTACGCGTTGTTTTCAGTCCTTTGGGACCAGTAGCCGCTGCGACACGGAATTGAGGACGCGCGAATCCAATCGATGTTTGTAAAAGTATCCTCTAGCGCTCCCTTATCTCTTGCTTTCGAGCACAATAACGTCCTCCGTCCAAGCCCAGGCTCCAATTAACAATCTGAATCACTTGCGTAGCCCTCACCCACCCACCGAGAACTTACCAAGCGTTTTGCGAGCCTCGTAAAGATCCCGCAGTTCCCGCTCCTTCTTCTCCCGCTTCAAGGTAACATCTTCCTTCTCCGCCGCGATTGACTTGACCGTCTCTGCGTCCAGGCCCGGCATAAGAGTGTGGGTGAGTATGGCGTCCGGCAACTTGCGTACGATGCTACTGTCCGCGGCAAGCGCGTTAACCTAGCCACAAATGCCACCATGCTCATCTACCTCCATTTCCCCCCGTTAGCCATCTTCTCTTGGTGTGGCGTGCTGCATCCTCAAGTAATACTATCAAAGTACGTATTTATCTATTTCGTCACGTTGATCGCCTTGACCGCTGGGACAACTGGGTGTCTGGTGATATTTTGACGTTTATCGTCACTCGCGGTCAATCAAGACTGTCCTAGCAAAATCCAGGATAGAACATCTTGACTGGGCGTACGAAGTACCTTGGCAAGGTTTGGTACTCCGTACCTATGGTAGTCAGGTCACCTTGATGTCTGGCACTCTTTCCATTTCTGTATTATCACGTGCCGCCATGATATGAACTCGCCAGTGAGATGAAGCGTTGCTCGTGCTCTCAACTGGCCCTCAAATCCAAAAAAAATACATTTCGTAAAAACAGGGAGGCTTGCACACCCAGCCCTCGATGATTCGCAACAGCTGGAGCATGCGAACGAAAGCTTCGCCAACGGGGTTCTCCTATTCATCGATTGACCCTAGCCGATGCTTCACAGCTTGAAAACAAAGTCATGCAAACTGTTAGGAGTGGACCTTCTTCCACTTTGGGACCTTGTGTATGGTTGATCATTGGAAGCTGAAATGCGATAGCCCCAAAAGGCGTTCAATATCAGCGATTATTAGCAGCCACTCATGCACCGCTCTGGTGGGCGCCCCTCGACAAAAGACCAATCGACTGGGCAGCGTGACAAGTCTCCTCGAATCACCGCGCTGTGATAGTGGTTTTGCAGTACTAAGTATTGTAGTAGTATTAGAGGGGGGGGGAGGGGAGGGAAGGAAATGTGTCGTGCTACCACCTCCTGTATCTCTGCGAGAATGCCCGACGCGCACCCCCTCCCTGAGCTCGATACCCCGTGTATGTGACTGGCCTGTGGGCGGGACCAGGCTGGAGCCTGCCAGTCGAAAAGATGGGAGGTCTACTCTTTTTCCCGCTCGGACAACTCCCCTCCCTTTTTTTTGGCCATCTTTCAACCATTTTCGCTATCTTAACATCAAAGCCTTTGCAATGTTTAGACGAGAACACATGACTGATACGGACAAGATCGTAGCCGTCGACATGGCTCCCAAGCACGCGGGCGGTGGGCCCTCGGATCAATCCTACGAGCGCACGCCGTCGCCGACGACCCCGCCCGCGGAGTCGGCCAAGACGACGGTGCAGCAGCACATCAACACGGCCATGCGCGGGTGCCCCCGGTTCCGCATCCTCGTCATCGGCAAGACGGGGGCGGGGAAGTCGACCATTTGCAGCCGCGTGTTCGACGTGCCGTACAGCGACCTCAAGACGGGCATGGAAGCCGTGTGGAAGGAGATTACGTTCCCCCAGATCAACGACTCCATCATATTCCACGACTCGGGCGGCTTCGAGGCCGGCTCGGGAGACACCATGCTCGAGGTGGAAAGTTCATCGCCTTCCGCCGGAACCAGCCCCAGCTCAAGGACCAGATCCACTGCATCTGGTACTATCAACTGCGACGACAACCGCCCCTTCCAGTCCTCCGAGGTCCACTTCTTCCGCCGCATTGGCGTCGGAAGGATCCCCGTCGTCGTCGTCTTCACCCAGTACGACAGACTCGTGCACAAGAAGCTCGGCGAGGTCGACGACGAGTTCATGGACGATGACCAGTACACGAGGAAGCAGCTGCGGGAGATGGCCCACAGCCGCGCCGCCAACTACTACGAGGAGAAGCTGGTCGCCCCGCTTCAGCAGCTCGTGGGATACAGTAACTGCGTCACCATGAGGAGGACGTCGCTTCCGCCGCTGGGGAGCAAGCACAAACCGAGTCTCGCCACGGCAGGCTCCGGCGACCTCGACAAGCTCCTCGCGGACACGCGCGACATCCTTACCAGCGAGGGACTCAAGATGCTTCTCACCGTCGCGCAGAGGGTAGACGCTGACTCGAAACTGCAGCAGTCCCTCGACAAGGGACTCGAGGCATTCTGGATGGTCCAGGGCTGGGGCATGGTCCCCATCTTGCCCGGCATCTCGGCCGTGAGTATCAGCTTAGCCTTCAAGAAGGTGTACCTCCTCATCTCGAGTCTCTGGAACATCCCGGCCGAGCCTCTCGGCATTTTCGAGCGCAGGTCGACCCGCCACAAGTTCTACGAAGCCTGTTTCGATACCTCGGTCGCTGGGTGGGCGGGGTTCAAGGCCGGCCTTCTCATGAATATCGGCGGCGCAATGACCGCCGGCCTCACCGCCGAGATGCTTCTAACTGTCGTCGTCGGTGTCGCGTTGATCCACGAGTCCCTGTTCTGGATGCACAAGAAAAAGGACAACATGCACCTCAGCGAGAAACATGTGCTGAGGGCTCTGGACAAGTACAGGCACAGCAAGTCGAGAAGGAACGCCATGGCGAGGATCAATCTCGATTCTAGTATCTTGACCGGGTACAGCAAGGAGAAGTGCCTTGATACTTTGCGTGCTGCGATCGAGCTTGGAGAATCGCAAAGGTACCGCCAGATGTTGTGGAAGGAGACCTTGGCCGGTGTTTGAGGGAGGACGCGGAGATTCTATGTTTAGCTGAAGTTTTACGCCTAATATTACCACAAGTTTATTTGCCTCCGGAGATGACAGCGGCTGTTATCGATGATGATGACTTCCAATATCTGGCGGCATCCTCAACCTTGGGCCTCTTAGATGTGATAGGCTTTTGATTCGGTAATTTTCTCTCCTCCACCTCAAAATCGTTACACGACGTTGAGAGTAGATCCTGAACACGGCTCTCTTCTTTTTGCCTTTCTCTGTAACTGTGATCTATCGTTGTCATTGTAGGAACTTTGTCGTCGCCGGCCAGCTTGAGCGACAGGTCTATCGTATCAAAACCCATTAGCGTATCACGGCTCTGGCATTCCTCCGTTAGACAGCGGCCGTGTATTGTCTACACAATAAGGACCACACGACAAAAGTCGCTGCTCAAACCAGTTCGAGGAGATGGGGATGAAGAGCATATTCGTCAGTCCCCATCCTCCGCATCCCAACGAGACCTACCGGACAGGAAGAAACCGGCGTCATCTGCATCTTCATCTGTCCATCATAGAGCGTAGAAGTACCGGATAAGCACAGACTATGGACTTAAACAGAGAAAGAGAGACGAGGTATCGTGTCAAGGATGTCCAGGCCCTAGAAGAGAAGTGAACGCATGAAACTAATGCTTCACGTGTGACTGATCAGACGAACAACGGGCAACGAAGCGCGGAATAAAGCCATGAAAACGACGAGAATGTCGTGTGATTTGCTTAGACGTCACCTTCTAGCATCATCTTCGCTCTATTTATCATCTATATACAATTATCTTCAACCTCTACCTCCGAATCCTCCGTCCTAAAAGCTTTTAACCAGAAAGTAAACATCACTTTTTAAATCACGGGTACTCAAAGTCCATCTTAAGCTTTTCTGACCTGGTTTCAGCCCCTGCATTCACCTCTGCCCCAAGGATGCAGTAGCTCCCGGCAGTTTTCAACATGAAAGATCTAGGTGATTCCGATAGAAGCAAGAGCAAGCTAATCAAGTAATGTCGCCGCCTGACAGGAGATTCCAATGGGCAAAGTCCTATGGACTATCAAGCAAATCTATAACTATCAAATTTTTAGATTGTTACTCTAGACTATAACAAATTAATCTTACAAAGTCCCCATCAACTTACTTCACCTCCCAATCCACCGAAATCCTCGTCTCTTCACCCCTAGTATCAAATCCACTATATTATTCTCCTACAACAGCTCCGGGTCCTTGTCCCTCTCAGTCCCATCATACACGGGCTCCTGCCACGTGTCCTTAATCGCATCCTCTGGCGCAGATGTTTCATTACTTTCTTGTTGTATCAAGATATTTTAGGTATTCCTTTCGTACTATGGCCATCTCTGTGAACCGAAAGAGTCCGAAACGATTGATAAAAGAGTTTTGGTCCGCAAGCAGGTAGTGGATGATATGGTCCACCGTGGAGTAGTTCACTGCATTCTCAACACACTTGCCGGTTCGATGGCATAGCGCATGGAATCCAGATTCTCGGGACTTAGATGAGGACAACTTTATCAGGGTTAAGGTGGTAAGTATCCTCACGCCCATACTCTCGATGTTTTGCCCACGATTCATTTCCTATTGCCGTCCACAAAGTCGGAGGTCCCGACTAGGCGAGTTCGTACTGATACTGCTTGATCGAACGTGATACGACATGCCATCCCATCTACCACGATAACTATCCTCGGGTGCACGGTCTTCTCCGCCATTGCCGAGCCCCAGGAATCCACCATATCCTTTTCCATTTCGATTTCTCCCGTATTTCTGACTGGACTGTCGATTCCCACAACGCGAGCCACCTCCGAGACCTGACATGGCTCAACCATGAAGCAGAGACCATCGCCCGATCGGAACCAAGCTGTCGCATAATGATATTCTCCCACTATTTCCGGACGACCCTCCCCGCGGCGCATGATCCCGGCCATCTCAAAGATGGCCGCAACATACGGACAGCCTTCGTGAGCAAACATGGGGAAGGAACCCTGCTGGACGAGTCGCGCGGTCAACAAGGTGCGGGCGTTTCGACACACTTATTTCAGTTTCTACGAATATTAGTATCTTCGTTCCTCCTCGCGCGGATCAAACCTTCAGGAGTCTTCATTCTCGCTACCGCCACGGGGAAAGTGAATCCGCTCTCCGGCGAAGCACCGTCAATCTAGTACGGCTCATGAGTGTCGATGACACAGGAGACGATTTCAAACTGAAGAAACTGGGTCTCTAGGAACTGGAAGAGCTGGTCATCGTACAAGTTTCCGATATTGCTGAGAAGAGTAAGGTAAAGGGAACGGGGATGGATGACGAATTCCGAATCCTTGAGCCGAAATCGAGGCGTCACGAGGTGAAGATCTGGCATTACTTGGACCTCGAGGCCTTCGGCTCATGACCTTGTAATACCCTAAGCCGCAAATTCTGCGGCGTATCTGGTGTGTAGTCTCCGAGGCGGTTGAAGCTGGTCGAGCTCGAAATTGAGCTTCTACCATGTTTCTGACAGGTTCTTCGGCAAGACCAACTCCAAGTTCCACGTGATTAACCAAGCCGTTCAACCGGTCATCCCTCCATGCCTGAATGGTAGCAAAATCTAACGGTCGCCAGCTGAGGGGGACATGCCCTTGAGTCCCTCAAGGGGCTCGTCGGTAACTTTGCGACAGTGGCCTCATTAGCTTCTCGAAATCAGTGCCGACATTCCTCGGACTCGTACAAGTCTAGGAATCTTTCAGTCCGTGGAGGGGGTTATACTCGCTATTTCTTTACGTATGTATAGCTTATCCTCCAAAAGTTCTATTATCAGAAACACCTTGATCAGGCTTGCTCACTCCATATTCAGCCAGTACTAACAATGAAAATCAGATCGAGTTTAAATACCGGGTGGTGCTATACGACGGCGTATACTTCTGAAATAAAACAGGCAAACTTTTCCGCAAGGTAGCCCTAGAGATGTAGCCCTTGACTTCGTAGCCCGGCTTGAGTCTCCTAATACTTGCTGCTTCTTCTACCTTCGTCTTTTTCATCTTTCCAGTTTCTCTTCGCAGCCCATATTTTACGCTTGTAGTCAACTCCATATCCTGATAGTCAACGTCTTAGCTCCTTTCTGACGGTCCAGCCTGGGCAACAAAATATAAGTTACCACATTCAACACCGGTCCTATTGAGCGCAAGCTCGCATGGCGCCTCGATAAACCTATGTAGCCTGCTTCTGCGAACCGACCACAGTTCGACGCCGCTTAAAAGTGTCCCTCAGATAATACGCCGAGTTCTTAGGGGTTCTGACAAGAGTTTCATAGTCAACGTGAACAACGCCGAAGCGAGGACCGAAACCAGCCGACCATTCTGGGGGAAATCCATATCAGTTTCTCGGAATATCGAATGCAGCTTGAGGACCGGAAGGGTGATATTTCCAAGTATACCAAAGTTATCCATCAAACTCCACACATAGTAGCCCTGTACTTTGACCCCGTCCTCGTAGATGGCACGTGAGATGGCATCGAGGTACAATCCAATGTACCGTTGCCGAAACGAGTCGTCCTTGGCGCGTTCCACGTCGTCTTCGCCGGGGCAGGGGCAACCGTTCTCGGTTATGATGATAGGGAGGCGATAGCGGTTCCACACCCAGTTCATCAGTTTCCTGAACCCCTCGGGTGCAATACGGAGCCACGCCATTGCAGATGCAGGCCCAATCTCCTCGCCTTTGCTGTTGACGGAGCCCTCCTCGATGTTGCGCGTCCAGTCGTCTTCCGCCGGCGGATCAGGCAGAGCCCGAGCGTATTTGGTAGAGTAGTGGTTCATTCCGTAAAAGGCATTGATAGGGGCAGTTCTGCGGAGGAGCTCACGTTCGTCTTCCGTGAACTGTGGAAGACGAGCCCCGAGGTACTCGCGCATCTCGGGGGGGTAATCCTTGCCGAGGAAGATGGTATCTCCGAACCAACCAATATAAAAGATCATCCTCGTCTCCGCCGCCTCAACATCTGCGGGATTCGAAGTGTCAAAAGGCTCGTAGAAATGGCCGTTGAGCACGATGGAGATGGAGCCTTTCTGGGTGGGACGGAACTCTGACGCATAAATTTGCACAACGGAGGCGTGGGAGAGGATAAGGGTGTGGCCTACGCGCCAGGGCTCGTTCTTGGTGTTGTTGCCGCGTTCGGCGCAGTGGCCGGGGGCGAGGGTGCCGTTGAGATGGCCGAAGATGGCGATGATGTACGGCTCGTTGAAGGTGACCCATTTCTTGACGCGGTCGCCGAAATGGCTGAAGCAGAGACGAGCGTAACGCTCGAAATCGGCCCTGAACTCATCGGTGTTGAGTAGGGCACCGTAGCGGTCGTAAAGCGCCTGCGGGACGTCCCAGTGGTACAGGGTGACGACGGGCTCGATGTTCCGGGCGAGAAGCTGGTCGATGAGATTGCTGTAGAAGGCGATCCCCTGCTCGTTGACCGGGTCGTCACGGCCACCGAGGGGGATGATGCGCGACCAGGAGATAGAGAAACGGTAGACGCCCATTTCTAGAGACGACATGAGCTCGACGTCCTGGGGCATGAGGTTGTAGTGGTCGCACGCGACGTCGGCGTTTTGGCCGTTGGTGCGAGAAGGTTCAAGGTGGGTGTACGTGTCCCAAATGGACTTTCCCTTGCCATCCTGACTGGCACCGCCCTCGATCTGGTACGCGGCCGTGGCAGCACCCCAGTCAAAGTCGAGCGGAAGGGGGAGTTCCTTAACCTCAAGGTCGCCGCCCGCAAGAGAGCTGTGGTTGGCGGCGACTAGATCGTTGGCTGAGAACATGGAAGCCTCTTGCGCCATGGTGCCGAAAGATTTCCAGTCTCGCTGATATGTAGGAGTATACTATATGTTGATGAACCTTCAGCAATCTCTGGATCTTTCTTGATTCAAAGATATAAAATAAAATAAAATACAATTAGAACAGAAGCTGCTGTTGGCCTTTGGCTTATTCTCTCGATAATTCCACGACATGAAATATGAGCAGCAAGTCTCTCCGCTGAAGCATGCTGTCGCATATCCGGGACAGATGCCTAGGGCGGGCGGGGTCTAAACGAACTTCTCCGCCGTCGCACTAGCTCGACGGATTTTTTATCAACAAGCCCTGTTTGCGCCTGTTAGTTAGTGACCTTGGCTCTCGGCACATATACCACCGACGCCCCGCACTCTAGCTCGGTTGGGGTAGCCGGTTGGCCGTGGGGTTGACTTCGCTAGGGCATGGCTTCTCTCTATCCGAGAAAGTTAAGGGCGAAACCCTCCATGAAGCGAATCGACTGAATTTACATCACGTCCACCTTTTCCTTGTGTCTTGATGTTTATTCTTGAATTTTTCTGCACTGGTCGTCTTGCACTTTGACATCTGCCTTTGCTGTTCCGTTACGATGGCGTCAATTGCGGGAGTTGAGTTTGAACATTACCTGCCGGCGAATACAACTGGAGTTCAGGAAACGGCGCCTCGGCTTTCATGGAAAATTGTTGATGCCCCCAAAAACTTCGTGCAAACCGGCTACGAAGTGGAACTCCGCGAGTACGGACTAGGATCGGATGTTTCACTCTCCACCGCGACCGTCGACTCTTCGTCGTCTCATCTTGTTCCCTGGCCGTTTCCTAATAATAAGCTACACTCCCGCCAAAGAATATCGGTGCGCATCCGCATTAAAGACGAGCATCATGTGTTCGGAAACTGGAGCGAAGCTAGCCATCTCGAAATCGGCCTTCTTTCTCGGGATGACTGGGTCTGCCAACGCATCACCGCCCCTTGGGCCGCCGAACTCCCCGGCCCCAACCCCGAAGACCTTTTCCGAAAGGGATTTCACGTTTCGGGATCCGTAGAGAAAGCCCGGTTGTATGTGACTGCCCAGGGCGTATACGAGGCGGAGATTAACGGCCGTATCGTCGGTGACCAGTTCCTCGCGCCGGGCTGGACCACCTATAGCGGCCGAATCCAATATCAAACCTACGATGTCACGGCCAACATTACCCTCGGAGTCAACTGCTTGGGGATTCGCCTCGCGGAGGGCTGGTTTTGCGGTCGCCTCGGTTGGGAAGGGGGCCACCGAAACATCTGGGGCCCGCATCCCGCCATCATGGCGCAGCTCGAAGTCACATACGTGGACGGGACGGTCCAGGTCGCAGGAACTGACGAGTCCTGGCGAACCGCACAAGGGCCCGTGCGATTGGCTGAGATCTACGACGGGGAAAAGTACAACGCGACTTTGGAGATCCCTGCATGGTCGACGCCCACGTTGGAGGAAAAGTCCATCGACGAGACCAAGTGGGCACCTGTGACCGTTATGCCGCCAATTCCCGATTCCATCACACTGGTAGCCGGCTACGGCGAGCCCGTCCGACGCGTACAAGTCTTGAAGCCCGCTGGCCCTGTTATCGTCACTCCCTCGGGCAAAAGGATCATCGACTTTGGACAAAACCTCGTTGGCAATGTGCGCTTGAAAAATGTCAGGGCACCGAAAGGCCACAAGATCACGTTGTCCCACGCAGAAGTGCTGGAGAATGGAGAGCTTGGCACTCGTCCCCTACGCGACTGTAAAGCCGTCGACGAGTACACTGCTCGCGGCGACCCGGCCGGAGAAACTTACGAACCGCGCTTTACCTTTCACGGGTTTCGGTACGTCCAAGTCGACGGGTGGCCCGGTGATCTGGATACAAATTCGATCGAAGCCGTCGTCTGCCATACCGACATGCGCCCTGCCGGGTCCTTTGCCTGCTCCGATGATCTGCTGAACAAGCTCTACGAAAACGTTGTCTGGGGCATGCGCGGTAATTTCTTTTACGTTCCGACAGATTGCCCGCAGAGAGACGAGCGCCTCGGTTGGACTGGCGACATTGCGCTCTTCGTGTCTACCGCCGTCCTCATCTATCACTGTCACGGGATGCTGCGCAACTGGCTCATTGATCTCGAAATCGAACAAACGATCCTGAATGGAGTGCCGCCCATGGTCAGCCCCAACAGTACATTGGCGGACCAGAAATGGTGCCGCAAGGTGCCCTGCGCCATTTGGCACGACGTCACCGTCATCGCACCATGGACGCTGTACCAAGAGACGGGAGACGTTGCTATTCTAGCGCAACAGTACCGCAGTATGATGACCTGGATGAATGTCATCCCTAAGAACAAGACTGGTGCTACGCACTTGTGGGATCCCAGGCCATTCCAGCTCGCAGTAAGTAGATCCATCTTGGAGAAACAAAATATTCCGGTCCTTTTCCTTCCTTTATCTAATTTTTTTTTTCCTTGTTCTCTAATTATCAGCTTCCTAACTCAATTTTCATTGTAGGATTGGCTTGATCCAGCCGCACCTCCGGACCAGCCATGGAAGTCCCACACGGACAACAAGATGATGGCCAACATGTTTCTCATCCAGAGCCTCGACCTCATGGCCAAGATCTCGGCCCTCCTCGGAAAAGAATCTGAAAGCCGTCATTTCACCCAGGAATCCGAGGCGGCGAGGGACGAGTTCCACGACGAGTACGTGACGAAAAACGGTCGGATCGTATCCGACACGCAAGCTACGTATGCCGTAGCCATCTGCTTCAACATTCTGAAGCCCGAACAGAGAGCCCGAGCGGGCGAGCGTCTCGTGGAGCTCGTGCGCAAGAACAACCTTCGCATCGCGACGGGGTTCGCGGGGACTCCGTTCTTGTGCGAGGCGCTAGCGGCCACCGGCCACGTCAATGTGGCATATGCCATGCTGCTGGAGAAGGAGTGCCCCTCGTGGCTGTACCCCGTCACGATGGGCGCTACAACGATGTGGGAGAGATGGGATAGTATGTTGCCGGACGGATCGATCAACCCGGGAGAGATGACGTCTTTCAACCACTATGCGTTTGGCGCCGTCGCCAAGTTTATGTACGAGAGATTGGCGGGACTGCAGAGAGTCGAGCCGGGGTGGACACGGTGCCGCGTGGCCCCGGCGATCGGGGCCGAGTTTACCTCGGCCTCGGCATCACATCTCACGCCAAATGGCACTATATCGTGCTCGTGGAAAACGTCAGTCGCGTCGACCGGCGTCGAGACGTTGGAACTGGACGTTTCTGTCCCGTATGGCACAACGGCCGAGGTTGTCCTCCCAAGCGAGGACGGGGAACATGCCGAGGTGGTAGGTGCTGGTAATTGGTCGTTTCGCACGCCCATTAGGAGGGATTATGAGTGGCCGATACCCGCTCTTCCTCCCAAGTCCTGATGAAAACACGAAGAAAAAGCCAGATAATTGCGGTTCAATTGGTTCAGTAGGAACAACTTATCCATGCCATCTTCTCGCTGGATGCGATACTGAAAATGAGAGAATTCAAGTTCGTTTTATATATTCTAGGCCGTAATCAATCTATATGAAACCGAACCGTAAATCCCATTGTCCCTTCTAAAAGTTGATCTCCTTGCTCTCTTCCGCAGCTTTCATCAACGCCGCCCACGCTCCTTTGCGATCCGATTTTTCGATCGCCTTATCCCCCACCCACAAACGCCATTGCTCAATTACCTGGTGCCCGATGACGTGTATCCCCTCGACGCACTGCCAGCCTTTTCTTTCCCCGGCCTTCATCATCCTAGTCCAGCGCGGTTTGAAGCACAGGTCCAGCAGCACGCCCTTCTCCGGCGCATCCAGTACAGCATCAAGTGTCGCCGCCGCCCTTTTCTCCTCTTCAGTCTGCGGCTCAAAGTCCGGTACAGTACCGACAACGTAGTACGGCGTGACGGGTAGTTTTCGGGCTTCTTCAGCGGTCTCCAGGCGGATAAGACGAGGCGGGTTCGCGAGCTTTTTCGAGTCGGCTACGAGGGCCGCGACCTCAGCAGCGTCTCGATTTATGATGTAGATGGTATCGCAGTGTAGATGCACGGCTAGGGAGTACACAGCTGCTCGACTGGCCCCGCCCGCCCCGACGACGACTGCGCAACCGGGCGACTGAGGGCTCGGCCGAGGCCTACCGACGGCCTGCTTCCCGAGGAGGGAGTCGACTATTCCGTTCCAGTCGGTGTTGGAGCCGCACGATATCCTCGCCGTTGCGGCAGAGTCCTTCCCCTTCTTGTAGTAGACGCAATTGCATGCTCCCACGGTGGAAGCGAGCTCATCCAACTCGTCCACGCGTTCCATGATTGTGTTCTTGTACGGCATCGTCACCACCAGGCCGGCGACTGTCGGCTCAGCCAAGAGGGTGAGCACATCGTCAAGGGTCGGGCACGTGGTATTGCAGAAAGTCCAAGGCAGCCCGAGAGACTCGGCGATGTAGTTGTGCATTCTGTACGCGACGGAATGCGTTACATGTGTACCGACGAGATGCAAGGATCTCTGCTCCTTGTGTTCCATTGTGAATAGATAATGCTTGTCGTCCTCTTCGAAAAATGGCGATAGCTATGCCTATTTCCGAGCAATGCGTGCTTGCGTGTAATAATACCGAGTATCAATGGGAATAGTTTGAACAAACGCAAGGCCGTCGGTCTCCTCTGAATACTTCAAGCGAAGGGCCTGATCTACGTCAAAACAATTTAAGCCACCCAACCCACGAACGAGCTCTGGGGGGTCACGACAAAAATTTCCCCATCGGAAAGATCCTTCCTCGCACGAAACGCTCATGAAAGGGTTGAAGTGGCTTCCCGGGCCACACTCAAGACGACGCCAATTCCAGAAGGGTTCCCGAGTTCTGCACACCCCCATTATCCACTTTGGGTTAGACCCATGTCGGTAGAAGAGAGCAAGCGAGCGACGGATATCCGATACGAATTTGAAGCTGGCTGGCGGAAAAGAATCCGACGAGGATCAGAATTGGGTAACCGCACTACATCTCGACCCCTCTAAGATTCGGGGAGACTTTGGGAAAAGACCAGCATTGGTAGTGTGGCGAGAGAGTGAGAGGCGCATTCACCAAGACCACTCACGCCGGTCACTCAGTAATGAGAAAATGAACGGTTAATTGCCACATCTCGTTTCTAATATCAGAAAAAAGACCAAACCTAGAGCTGGCGTCGGATCTGCGCTCCCGCGTTCACCATGTCGTCGAAAAGGCCATCTTTTGACGCACTCCCGCTCCGCAAAGATGGTCCTCCGGGAAATGCCTGGGGCCTCTACGGCGACTCCGACGAGTGCGGTACCCTCAACCTTTTGACCCCCGAACTGGTCGTGCGTGCGGCCGGTGAGATCAAGGGCGGGGTGCGGGTGTCGACGGATTTGCCACTGGACTTTATGAAAACTCCCAGCTTCGGCCGCGCTCCGTTCCGGCAGACAATAAAGAACAAGGCGCCACGTACCGTGAACGACGATACCTTGTGCTTCAACACGCAGGCGAGCACGCAGTGGGATGGTTTCCGGCACTACGGGTACCAGGATGCGAAGCTATATTATAATGGGCGAACACCCGACGACATTACTGGCACTAAAATAAACGGAATCAGCGGTATGCTGCGGCCTCGCCCACTCCTCCACTTTACATCCGTATCTGTACCTTGTATCTAAACATGAAAATGTTAAAAAACTCTAAATAACAGTCTGGGTGGAAAATGGCGGTATCACTGGACGTGGTGTGCTTCTTGACTATGCCTCCTGGGCAGATGACAAGGGTATCTCAGTTTCCCCTCTCGAAACGGTGTCTCTCACAGCTTCCACCCTAGAAGAAGTGGCCGCTAGCCAAGCCACGGAGCTAAAGCCGGGAGACATCCTCCTAGTCCGCACGGGCTGGCTCCGCGCCCTCAGACAACTCTCGGACGAGCAACGTGCCTCCATAGCCAGCCTTCCCAACCCGCCCGCTATCGGATTAGAGTCGTCCGAAGAGATGCTTCGTTGGTTATGGAGCAGGAGCTTCTCCGCGGCCGCCGGCGACCAGCCGAGCTTCGAGGCATGGCCCTGCCAGGACCGAAAGTTCCATTTGCACGAATGGCTCCTTGCCGGGTGGGGGATGCCGCTTGGGGAGCTGTTCGACCTGGAAGCCCTCAGCGTTGAGTGCCGAAGACAGCAGCGGTGGTCATTCTTCTTTAGCAGCGTGCCACTCAAGGTGCGTTTGGGATAGAGGCTCGAGAAGCCGACTTGGATTGCGGATGTGAAAGCTGACCAGCCATATTCAGGTTCCGGGTGGCGTAGCCAGTCCACCAAATGGTGTCGCAATTCTTTGATAGCACGATCAGGCCGTGCCATCTATACATGAGGCTTTCTGTTTTAGCTGTGGATCCTTGAGTAGATCTCTCTGTATATCCACAAAAATAGTGCTCGACCCTGACTTGCTAGTCCTTGACGGCTGTAAGCTCAATGACCGAGGAGATTCTGAAGAAGAATGGCTAATACATTCCGATTCTAGGAAAGACTTAGAACCAGAATGGACCTATGGGAATAATCCTATATCTATATATATAAAATTGAAAAATAGAAAACGTTTATAGTTCTGTCGTTGGATTCACAAGTATAAAACTTTCGTCGAACAGTAAAATGTGCCAGGTAAAATAAATTATTCAGTGTCGCAGTTCATAGAAGCATGGGTTGCCTTATGCGGGAATCAATCACAGGGTAGGATTCCCGGCTAGGTTGTATCTTCTTTTCTGACACTATCGCGTTTACGAGAGTCTCGATGTCACCACGAATACAATTTCATTATAGCTTTTATGGACTTGGAAGCAACAATGCAGCTAAATTAACCCCTACTTCTCATCCTTTACCAAGCCCACCTTGATTTCCTTATGGCAGCCTACAGCTCGAAATATAAATAGACGGGGTGATTTATGACTTTGTCACCGCCTCCTCCTTTTCAATTCTGACGAGGCGCTGGGTAGCGGTTTCGGTCTTGTGGAAACGCCAGGGCTTAATCTTGCGATGGAAGAGCTCGTCAAGCTCGGCAGCAGATCGCCTAGATGATTTTGGTTAGTAGAGATGGATAAAAATGATGGAAACATGTAAACTAACCCGGCGGTTTCGGGGATGAGGAACCACATGCCCGAGGCGAAGATTAGACCGACGCCTCCGTAGAACCACCCGGTCTTGAGGCCCCAGTTCCATTCGTTCCTGTTCACCATGAAAGGTGTAAGCTGTCCCATTGCGATACCGGCAACGCACGTGGTCGCGGCGCCAAAACCGGCGGTATACGGACGAAGGCGCTGAGACGAGATTTCGCCGATGAAACCCCAGCCGGCCGCGCCGTTTGCGGTGAGGCCCATATCTATGAGTAGTGATTTCGCGTTAGCCCTGTGATCGGCAACTTTTATTTTAAATTTTTCGTCGTCTTGATTGAAGCAAACTTACTCCAGAAGCAGGTAAAGAGCACCAAAAGATAATTAGTGGCTTTCACCTTGGGTGCGACGCCGAGTATGCCGATGAGAATGCAGGCGAGCCACATGAGTGTCGTGGAATAACAGGCAATACGACGGCGACCAATGATATCTGCAAGACCGACAATGACGATGTTGGTGGCAATGTTGATGGAAGACGTGATGCACTTGATCGAAAACGGATCGGAAAGACCGGCCTGTTGGAAGAAGTATGTACCAAAGGTGGAGAAGAGGGCGAGACCTAGGAACTGTTGGGAGAGGTTCGTCCAGAGAGCAATGACGGTCCGCAAGCCGTCCACCCCACGGAAGATGGCGTACCAATGCTCCCTCTTTTGCTCAATGGCGATGGCTTTCTCGTGTTCGATATTCAAGACTAGAACTTCTATCTGTCGGTCAACGTTGTAGTCCTTGACGTCTGAATTGAGCTTCAGCAAGGCCTTTCGAGCGCCGGCCGTGTCGCCGCGCGTGACGCACCAAGCGGGAGATTCGGGTAGGAACAGATAAATGAACAGCATGAGGCCGATCTGGGCCCATTGGGTGTAGATGGGTTCGAGGTAATGAGTCGGCATTTTTCTGTTCATGGTCTGCATGGCGATGTAGGCGAAGAAAGTCCCGACGGTCCACCAGAAGCTGTAAAGCATGAGCAGGCCGCCGCGAATCCGCACGGGCGCCACTTCGGAGATATAAGTGGGAAGCGTAGTCTGCATGCAGCCGACGCCGATACCAGCGAGCAACTTGGCTACCAGCCAAACCTCCCACCGGCGGGCAAGACTCTCGGCGAGGACGCTAGCGGCGAGGATGGACCAGTAGCTGAACATGGCAACCTTGCGACCGAATCGGCTGGAGATGAAGGACAAGCCAACCATGCCGATGATCTGGCCGACGGACTGGATAGAGCTCCAGCCTGCCAGAATGGGTGAGGCTAGGGCGGGGGAGCCGTCATCGTTGGATTCGGTAGCGAACTGCCTGACAAAACCTTTGTTGGCGACAATGCCCGAGTTCATCCTACAACCATGGTTAGTTTTTCACTGGCGGTCCGGTCCCGTGGGAGAAAAAATTATGGAGTAATTGAAGACTTGCCCGATTTGGTATCCGTCCGTGGCCGCGCTGAAGGCCGCAGCGAAGCAAACCGCAGTACAGACTTTGAAAGTCTTGATCGTTTCCCAGGGCGTCAACCTCTCGTAGCCGGTGACAGCCTGACCTTGGCTGGCCGCATCGACGATCACGTCTTTGGCCTCCCTGTCATCGCCGCGGGCATCCTCGATGAAAGTGGCGGATGGGGGCTGTTTCGCCCCGGTTTCCTTAGACTCAGAAGTCATCGCGAGTGTTTGGGTTCGGAATTTTGCGGATGATGAATGCCGGGAGGCGCGCGTTGGGGCACAACTCGAAGCAACAAGGCATGAACTAGGAGGAGACTTCGCCGATATTTTGTATCCCAGTGATGACCCCCTCTCTCCCCCCCCCTTCCTGGCGAACCAACACCGCAACTTTTGACCCGGATGGAGAACAAGTGGCGTGAGTGATGGCGACTAGATGTCGGTGCATGATTGCCCGTTTTCCGACCAGACGAGCCACAATGGGAGGGTAGGACAAGGGGAGGTTGGGGAAAGGAAATCACGCCTGGATTTTCCATTTCCGGGGCCCCGCATTTCCGACGTCTTCCCCACGGGGAAGCTAACCATAAGCGGTCGGTTATCCGGTCATTACCCCAAACATGCAGTCCCGAAGACGGGGGCGGAGAAGGTGACAGGGGCAAGGGAGAATACGCGTATTCGAGAGGTGATCATTAGATGGGGAAAATGAATGCTACATCCTCATGAACTAGGACTCGAAAAGCGACCCTCCCTTTCCCCAGCCTACCACATGAAAAGGTTTCCGAGGGTGCTTTGGCACGTCTCGTGCCAGAACTTGCTCATTTCGGTGGGCGTTCAAGGTTCGCCTGGGACGGAACTGTGGTGATGCTTCATACTTTGTCTCCATGAGACTAAAGATCCCTGATGTTCGGCGATGCACAGAACTGGACGAGATACCGAAGCACGCGTCGCATACACGTAAAGTCGATGTGATCGGAAATTAGAGGTTTGGAATCGAGGGAGAATTCGGGACATCTATTCTTGGTCCGATACGTCAAGGGCTATCCAGATAGATTTTTTTTTTTTTTTTTTTTTTTTTTTTTTTTTTCGCGGTGGCATCGTACCAAGCTTCTGCTATGATTCCCTTTCATTCCTTTAGCAGTTTTCTCCCCCTCATTCCTCATTCTCACCCTCGGGATTATCTTCCAGCGACGGGTCCGCGGAATGACCGGCGAGAATGCGTTATGGAACAAGTGCTAGTGGAAGCGGCATCATGACCTGGTGAAGATCGGCGCGAGAGGGGCTTTATGCCCCGTCTCCAAGACTGGGTAATTTCCAGACTCGGCACTAGCTGCATTTTACACGATCAACCAAACTGAAGTTTCTGCCGTGTCCTCTAGAGCGTTCGTCCTCGGAGAGGAAAGAGAAGGAGGAGAAAAAGTAAGAATCCAGCATTTAAAGAAAGGCATCTTCCCTCTGTGACGATATGGTTTACTCCTCCCAGCTCAAGCTGTTCCCTCCCTGCTCCATCCAAGCCTCAAGTTCCCTGTCTCAAGACACCGTGTCACAGTCAACCCCTCTGATAGTAAACCGCCCCGGAGTGAGATCCGGAACTTCCCCCTAAAATGCGTCTCTCTGCCCCTGTTCTTTCGGTGAGCGCCGCTGTTCTCGGGGCATCCCGTGTAGCCTCGGCCGCCGCACCGCCGCCGCCGCCGCAGCCCGAGCTCATCGAAATCTTTGAACTCACCCTGCCCCCCGTCGGCCCTAGCAATGATGTAGGGGCATGCACGGAGGAGGTCAATCCCAATAATACCGGATGCATCCGCAAGGACTTTGGAACTCTTGGCGAGAACGAATTCCAGGCGGGCGATTTTGATCCCGAGGGGAAGCACGTCGTTGTCAACGTCAACTTCGTCGGCGCTCCGGCTGCGCCTGATCCGCGCAGCATCTACTCGGGCGAGCAGCTGATCCTCGTCAAGGCCGACCACACAACTTTCCCCAACGGCGACTCGTGGAAATGTATAACCTGTGGCGTGCCCGAGGAGAACGCCCGCGGCCTCGACCCTCAGCGCGATTACCCGCACGTGTTCCGCAGCGGCGACAAGATCCTCTGGGGTCATAATGTCATCGACTGCGGTGGTGTTCCCGTGCATGAGTGCGAGCCCGAGACCACAAAGATCTACCCGATCCACTGGCCTGTGTCCGCAGACGGTTCTGGGCCTGGTGGGGTACCACGAGAGATGCGGCTGCATCCCGACGACATCCACATGGGATGGAGTTCTTTTACCGCCGACGGCGGGCAGAACGCCTTCTTCGGTCGTCTCAAGTTCAATGAGAATCCTACCGTCGGCGAACCCCTTGTGCCGCGGTACGACCTCGTAAACGTGAACCTCTTGAGGCAGCCGAACGGCAAACTACCGATTGAAACGACGGACGACGGCGTGGTCAAAAGTAACCGTGATGCTATTACCGTCGGCGAGCTCCGCGGGTTCTCCGGATCCGGCGCGGAGGTTATCTATATTGGCAGCCCATGGGAGGCCAACAACATCGACCTCATGGCGGTGCATCTCGTCACCGGCAAGGTACGCCGCTTGACGAGCCATCCGGAGTATGTGGACCCAGCCGCCGTCTCCCACGATGACGAATGGATCGTCGCTATGGACACGCGCGGATCGAACCGCCAGATGTGGATGTCCGGCATGCGCTGGCTCCCTCCCATGATCGACGTACTCGCGGTAGCCGCGGCGTCGTCGACGCGCAACAACGGGCCCCGCCGATTTTTCCAACCCATCCTCATCGACGGGTACGGCGACAGGGGCGACTACTTTGGCCAGCAGGTAAATGCTGGCGGGGATGGAAGCCCAGGTAGCGTCAACGACCCCAACTGGAACGGAAGAGCCGATCCGGCCTTCTCCCACGACTCCACGCGCATCGTGTATTACCAAGCTCTAGTCGTCTCTCCCAGCTGCGGCGGCGTAAACCCGCTCCCGTGCCCCGAGTCGACAGCCCAGGGCGGTCGCGAGTATCGCGTCATGGTAGCCGACCTCACCAGCCGCAAACCCAAAGCCGCCAAGCCCGTGTTCCAGGTCCCCGACGAGATCCCCTGGGCAACCCCCTTCCCGCCCGGCACTGCCGTCCCCTCCCAGGCTGGCCCGAAACCTGGACAGTACAAGCTGTTTGGCAGAGTCTCGGGCTCCGCCGCGGTCAACTTCACCGAGGACGCCAACCATGCCGGCGCCATCCGCACCGTTTCGGTGGCGTATTCCGACTTTTGCGATGAGGAGGGCTACGTGGTCAATGGATGGGAGGAGTTTACGCGTGACCTCGATGGCTCGAATCCGTGGAATCAGATTGTACACTGGTTCTCGGACATTACGCAGACGGGCGTGGTGAGCGCGACTAAGAAGACGAGCCCGGATGGTTTCCACCTCACGATAGATGTCATGGTGAACATTTTCAACGCTACCGGATCGCTTACTACAACCATTGATGGTGTTGTCTATAAGCAGCCTGCCAACGGCACTTAGAGCCTGCGAAGATGCTACTAGTCTAGACGAGGAGGACCTTTATCATTCGGGATGGACTGGCGGGAATGTCTCGAGGTCGGGATGTTGGGTTTCCAGGGAAATATCAAGTAGTGCCTATCTTTTTGATTAATTCAGTCTATTTCGTCCAATAATCCTCTAAGCATTCTCCCATGCAGCTCTTCAAGAAGTCCTGTAAACTCAAATAGTCTCGGAATAATACATCTACGATAACAGGCGAGGTATTTCTTAGATTCTGTGGAGAAGGTTGCATTCACTAATCCTTCCCTCCACACAACCCCATTTTGTTCGAGTCTAACCCGAACAGTAACTGGAGAGATCCAACCCCTACCCCTGGTGTGTTCTTACCAGGCCCCCCCTTTTTTTCCAATTATTTTTTCCGTTCATATGTTGAATCATTTTCCGGCGTAAAATTCCATTTCCACCTTTCTCGCTCATTGCAGATACTGAAAATTCGACAACTATTACGCCGGATAATCACTTTTATCCGCCCTCCCTGACTCTTTCTCACCTCCAGCGAACTCGCGACATTGACACCCCTATCCAAGCATACAAACATAGCAGCTATATCCGAGAGGAGTGAGGGGAAAACCGGGAAAGAAACCCGAGAAGAGAAAGAAAGTCCCACCCATGTTTGAGCCTGCTGGACCACCGTGGGACGGGTTCTATTCCCCGATGACACCGACGGTGCCGGTACACGGCGGTAGGCTAGAAGGCCGCCGTCCACCGTCTCACCCATTACCGGCTAAGCGGCCGTTACCTCCGTGCCAGGAAACATCTACGCCGGCGTCGGCCGTGCGGCGGAGGAAACCTGCCAAGGTGAGCCGAGCATGCGATCTCTGCAAAGCGCGCAAATCCAAGTGTGATGGCATGATCCCCTGCGACAAGTGTGTCGCCAAGGGGCACGTATGTCTTTACGATGCCAAGTATTCTCGGGGTAGACCCCCAACCCCCCCGCCATCCACCACAGCCATGATATATGCGACGCCGGCCTACCCCGTGCATCGCGAGGAGCAAAGGAATACCCCTCCGACTCGGAGGAGCAAGTCCTCAGACATAATACCTCCACCACACACGAGCGAGGGCTCGTTTCACCTGCAGCCTCCTCCCTCCGCCGTCGCCGCTGATACGTCCGCTGTATCGTTACCCGTGCTTGCTTCCAACACTACGTCTACGACCATGACGTCCATTGAACACGGACAGGCACCCGACCAAGACGAACAGTCAGACGAAACAGCAGCCCCGAAGCCTCGCGGTGAAAGGAACACATCATCTCGACAGTCTCCGGATCTAGGCACGGAAGAGATACAAGGTCAAGTCTTCGATCCCACCTCGACAGTCACTTTTCTCCATCGCGCCTGGAAACGTCTCTCCAAACAAAAGGGCCGTGAGAAGGATAATGCAGACCAAGGCCCACTTTCCCCGCTCGATCAGACCCCCGGGCACCAGCCGTGGATGTTTGCCGGTGATAAGCCACTCAGCACAAGCGCCAACACGACTGAATTTCAGTCCGAGCGTAATCCCGACTTAGGCAATATCGTCCTGCCTGATCACTCGTATACGCGGGAGCTAGTGCAGCTCTATTTTGACGTTTGCATCGCTACCTACCGCTTCCTACACAGAGGAACAACCGAGGCATGGCTAGACACCCTCGAGGCTAACCTCCACGAGGGTAAACCCATATGGAACAACATCGGAAAGTCTCGCGCTGCTATCGTCCTCGTCGTCCTCGCCATCTCTGCGACCCATCTGGAAAAGCTGCGTCGGCCAATAGCCGCCACCGCCACCAATACCCCCTCTCACTACCTGTCACGTAATAACAATAATACGACAACCAACCCGGAGGCTCACCCCGATGAGCTCTTCGGCATGGCAATGCGTCTCGTCGACACCGAAACCGGCATCCCACGTCTCGAGCTCGCGCAAGCCCACCTCATCCTGGTGCTCTACCTCCTCACCACGTCGAGAATGAACCGCGCGTGGTACGTCTTCGGAAACCTAACCCAGATCGTCGGCGTCCTCGGGCTGCATAGGCGCGGTGGCCGGAACCGCCGCGTGGCAGCCGCGAAGGCTGACTATATCCAATCGCAGTGCGCTATTCGGCTTTTCTGGGCGGCGTACATTATCGACGGCCACCTCAGCGTCATATTCGGTAGGCCGCGACACTACCACGATGACGATATCGACCAGGAGTTTCCCGCGAGCATCAACGACGAGTACATGACTACCAAGGGTCCTATTGATGCAAGGGATGAATTTGGCGAGGGGGCGGCAGACAGTCTTATCGAAGCTCTCGTATATCATGCAAAGTGAGTTCTCTCTCTCTCTCTCTCTCTGTGTCCGACCTTTTACTATCCCGATAGAAAGGGAGTGAAACAAGTGGCAAAAGAAAGATACTAACCCTGATAAACAACCAAGAGTCGCCCAAATCATTGGCCAAATCTCAAAGCAAGTCTACTCCATCAAACCCATCTCCGAACAGGAACGTATCGACGCCTCCCTCCGCCTCAGCGAGAAGCTGCACGCCTGGCAAGCCAGTCTCCCCGCGCATCTCGGCACCGTGCGTCTTTCAAGCCTGATCCCGAGCCTTCGCCGCCAGGCCACCGTGCTACGGCTCGCGTATTCGCACGCCATCATGCACGCAAACCGGCTGTTTCTGCTCGGTGACCCCACGGCCAGCAATCGAGGCCCCGTCGCCGAGTGCATAAATGCCGCGAGGGTGGTGTTCGAGATAGTCGACGGGATGGCCAAGGACGGTCCGATTTTCCACGCCTTCTGGTGGACGCATTACATCACCTTTTGCGCCCTGCTGGTCACCTACGTCTGGGAGATTCAGCATAAGAGGAAGCGGTTGTCCCTAGGTGACATAGCGGACCACAGGCGGCTGATCGAATTGGCCGGTCGGTGTCACCGGCACCTCGCCAACGCTACGGCCACCAACTCGCCCAGCCGGAGGTACGCCGTCATTCTAGCCGAGTTTCGTCGTGAAGCCATGGGTACCCTTTCTAGGGCAACCTCTCCACGACCCGCGGCCACGACCGTGCACGAAAACGGGATGGGAAGTGGTTATGGCCACGGAGGCGGCTCAACGCCTCGATCGTCCTCCATTATCATTGACCCTCGGCTACAAGAAGACCCAGGGATCGCAGGGCACGGGCAAGGGCCGACCTATCCCGCGTCCACATTCGACGGGCCTGAAACTGGCGCGGAAATAGCGGGTCCGGATTATATGCTACAAGCCGCCCTGGCGGACACAACGTCATCTTTTCAACCAGGACCGACCGTCTTGGACGAATGGCAGGCTACGGACTGGCTTGAGTTCGACTCGTCGGTAAGTTTTCTCTCTCGGCACGGTATGATTACTCTCTACTTTAGATGAATAACAAAATGAACCCGTCTTTACAGGCATTCGGACCTATCTTCGAATCTTGCAACGATACGCCGCCTGGGGTATAATATCATTAACATAGATGCATACGGATCCAGCCGACTATAGGGTATAGGGCCCGGTTCGATGTTGATCAGCTTTCTCTTACGACGCCCAGCTTTTAGAATATGCCCCGTTCTTTTTCGATTGTATCTATCAAGGTGAATGTCACTATTATCGTTTTGCTTCTAAGAAAAACAATCTCGTTGCTCTATCCGGATCCAACTTTTACCATTTATTCAACGACGCTATTTACCCCATTTCTCAATGTTCCCCTTGGCGGAATCTCGCACAATCTTTTTGATCTCCTCCTCACCGACCTCCTCAAAGATATCGAAGCCCCATCGTGACTGCCAGTTATATCTCTTGTGTCTTTCAAGCCCCGTGAGAGCCTGATACACGTCCGGGGGAAGCTCTTGGGCCTTGAGGTTGGTCTCGATGCGGCTGGGCGTGACGCTCTTGGGAAGCACGACGTGGCCGCGCTGGACGCCCCAGGAATAGAGGAGTTGGCCTTTGTCCAGACCCGTTCGGGTGCCGAGTTCGGCCACGAGAGGATCGTCGACGGTGCGGGGCTCCCCGGTTTGATTGTTTCCAAGTGGGGAGTAGGCGACGACCTGGATGCCTTTGCCCCGACAAAAGTCGAAAAGTTCAGTCTGCTGGAGGTAAGGGTGGACTTCGATCTGGTTGACGGCCGGGACTACCTTGGTCTTGGAGAGGAGGCCTTCTAGACGGCGCTTGTTGAAATTGGATACACCGATGGCCTTGACTTTGCCTGTGGATAGGAGCTCCTCCATGGCGGTGTAAGTTACCGCAGGGTCGATATCCTCGAGAACGAATACACCGTCCGAGTCGAGTGGGAAGGGGTTGTCGCCGGCTCTGAAGGCACTGTATACATTTGTAAGATGGTTAGATCACTGATTTTAACACAGTAACGATATTGATGTATGTTTATACAAGGCAAGATGTGTATGATGCTAGTGATGAAGGGATGATTTATGGTGACCAGCAAGGGAGCAATAACAAAAGAGCACGTATGGGATAAGCACTCCATCATGGACCGTGGTAATACTTACACAGGCCAGTGCATTAGGTACAAGTCTAGATAGTCCGTGCCTAGATCGCGCAGCGTTTGGTCCAGCGCCGGCTCGACATCCTCGGGCCTGTGCTTGGTGTTCCAGAGCTTCCCCGTGATGAAGAGATCCGAACGAGGTACCCCGGACTTGAGGATGCCGGCGCCGACGCCGGTTTCATTGCGGTAAATGGCGGCGCAGTCGATGTGCCTATAACCGGAGCGTAGGGCGATGCTGACAGCTTCTTCAATCTGGTCTACGGGAGCCTGCCAGGTTCCGAAGCCCACAGCAGGTATCTTGGCCCCCGTATTGAGGGTGAAATGCGTTGGGAGAGGCATCGTGCTAGGATATAGCTGGCGTCGACGAGCTCTGTGCGTGTGTGTGTGTGTGTGTGTTGGTGGGAACCGCGATGTCGTAACACGAACGACGCCGGGATCAGAAGATGCACGAACAAGCAATCTGGTCAATCGACCACTATCACATTATACCTCGAGCAAGAAAGTTGGGAAATACAAAATTAATGCAACATCACGTCCGCACCAGATTCCCGATCGGACAAGACAAACATGAGCTCGGCAGAGACAAACCCGAGAGGTGAGGTTGTATTATCCGGCGGGCTTATCCGGCGGGACTCATTTCTGGCGGCCGGATTCTTTTCCGATCCAATGGGGGGGCCAGACATGCGGACAACTGCCGGCCTGAAATTGGAGCAAGGGAGGAATGAGCAGCAAGACGGGAAGTAAAACTTAGCAAGGAAAAGCAAGGGCAAAGAAGATAGGAATCGCCGGGGACGAATGGAGCCCTAGATCGCCAAACTTCGCCCCAATGACGAATGAACATGGGTGGAGACCAGATGTTTTGTGTCCAATTCTGATCCTTTATCATCTTCCGACGGAATGTCTACAGTCAGCTAAGATACGCACCCAGATCCGTTTGTCCCCTGTTTTCGTGAAACGGGATTCGCGCGCCCTAGAAATGAATGCGTCTTGAGTAAAGTGCCTTAGCATGTCCTGCCCAGAGCCGCCTTCCTTTTCTTATTCTTACCCTCTATTCATCATCACCTAACAGAACGCCCAACATGGTACCCCTGCCATCCCTCGTTACAGCACCGCCCGGGACAGCCATGTCGTCCATCCGCGCGCTCGAGTTGGCCCTGCCGCAGGTCCTTCCAGCGACCAACGAGACCTCCAAGTCCAAAGGTGCTCAGAGAGACGACGAGAGTGAAATCCAGACGGTCGACCAACTCGTGCGCAGCCGCGCTCACACGCATGCCGATAGTATCGTTGTTTCGTACCCTTCCTCCGGTGTCGAATATGTGGACTACACGATGCAGCAGCTCGATGCCTTCGCATACCGCGTCGCAGTGCAGTACGCTACTCATATCCCCGTACGCTCGTGTTCGCAGACGAAACCCACCGTTGTGGTGGTCATGGGGCCTTCGAATCTGGACTACCTCGTCACCTTGCTGGCTCTCACGAAGCTCGGCCATACAGCGCTTCTCCTGTCGACAAGAATATCACAGGAGGCCGTCGACTCGCTTATCCGAACTACCGGCGCCAAGTTTTTCTTGTATGATCAAAGATATGCCGACGTCGCCGCGGCGGCGGGGGCCTCCATGTCAGAGTTTGGTGTCCTGGAAATTGCTGGAGGGGCGAAATACAACTTCCCCGTCGATGTTTACGCCGATACGGCGCTCTGCCGACATCTTGATCCCGCAATTGAAGCTGGCCATCATGTCTTCATCATCCATTCTAGCGGTGAGCACTTATCTATCAACGGGAAATGTGTGGCGATAGAAAAAGAAAGAAACACGGCAAAAGCTGACAATACCAACCCCGATTCCTAGGCTCAACGGGCCTTCCAAAGCCCATATACCAGACTCACAAATCCGCGCTACCCAACTATGCCATCCATACGAACATGAAGGCTTTCATAACCCTGCCTCTCTTCCACAACCACGGCATCTGCAACATGTTCCGCGCCCTCCACTCCGTCAAAACCATCGCTCTCTACAATGCCGATCTACCCCTAACCCAGGAGTACCTGGCAGCTATACTATCCAAGTACGACTTTGATATATTCTACGGCGTGCCTTATGCTTTGAAAGTGCTCTCTGAAACCAATGAGGGTATCGCCCTCCTCCGGCGCTTGAAGGTCGTCATGTATGGTGGATCGGCGTGCCCAGATGACCTGGGTGACAAATTAGTCAATGAGGGAGTGAACCTGGTTGGCCATTATGGAGCGTGAGTGGCCTCGACCATCCTCCAAACCTTGAGAAACCATGACTTGGAGTACCGGTTGTTATGGACAAAAGAACTAACGCCTGAGAAGGACCGAGGTCGGCCAACTCATGACCTCATTTCGCCCCAAAAGCGACAAGGCGTGGAACTACGTCCGCGAAAGCGAGAAGCTCTCGCCTTACCTCAGATGGATTCCGCGAGGGCCCCAGCTCTTCGAGTGCTGCGTGCTCCCCGGCTGGCCCGCCAAGGTAGCCTCGAACCAGCCGGACGGATCTTACGCGACCAAGGACCTATTCGAGCCTCACCCGACGATTCCGCGCGCGTGGAGGTACGTCGCGCGTCTCGACGACACAATCGTTCTCGTCAACGGCGAAAAGTTCAACCCCGTGAGCCTCGAGGGATCCGTACGCTCCAACAGGAACGTCGCCGAGGCTGTCGTCTTCGGCGCGGGCCGGCCGTACTTGGGCATCTGCGTGATCCCCTCGCCTGCGCTGGCGGGGAAATCCGAACAGGAAATCATGTCCGAGATATGGCCCGTTATCGAGGCTGCCAACAGCGCTTCGGAGGCCTACGCGCGGATACCCAAGGATATGGTCGTGCTACTTCCCGTCGGGATCAAGTATCCGCAGACGGATAAAGGAAGCGTGATACGCCAGGCCTTTTACAAGGCGTTCGCAAAAGAGATTGATAAGGCCTACGATGATGGAGATGTCGGCCGCGGTGATGCAAAGGTAATGTCGCAGGATGAGTTGAGGCAGTTCCTACGAGCGACACTGTCTCGTTTTCTCCCCCAACTTGAACAATTCGACGATGACGTGGATGTGTTTACGTTGGGTCTCGACTCTCTCCAGGCCATTCACACGAGAAGTCAGATTCTCAAGTCAGTCGATATGGGGAATAATAAGCTGGGCCAGACTGTCGTGTTTGAGCATCCGTCCGTAAACAGACTTAGCGATTTCCTCTATAGTCTTCGTACTGGCACGGGCTCACAGGAAGACAACGACGTCCCTGTCGAGACACAGATGCGGGAGCTCATCATCAAGTACAGCACCAGGCTTAGCGGTCAGCCTAGGAAACCCAACGCCTTTGTACGTTGTTGCTCCCTTTTCCTCCCTCTTCACAAGAGATCTTGGTTTTCTAATGATAAATCCATGCAGGTCGTCACCGGTGTCACCGGGTCCCTCGGCGCACACATAGCCTCGCAGCTTTCCCGCGATCCTAAAGTCGATCGTGTCTACTGTCTCGTCCGCGCCAAGTCCCCCACCGACGCTCTCCCGAGGATCAAGAAAAACCTGATCCACCGAAGGATTTACCATACTCTTGCCCTCACAGAGCGCCGCAAACTAGTCGCACTTCCCTGCGATCTCTCCCGAGACGACTTGGGGCTGGACTCGAGCACGTATGAGGAGATTGCATCGCATCTTAGTGCCGTCATTCATTGCGCCTGGTCTGTCAATTTCAATTTGCAGCTCTCCACCTTCGAGAAGAGCGACATCGCTGGCGTCGCGAATCTCATCCGACTATGTAAAGCTGGCGCCTACGCCACCACCGCTGCCGTTCCGGCGTCGTCGACACCTTTCCCTCGCGTGCCGTCTTTCAACTTTTGCTCGTCCGTGAGCGCCGTCGCGCGGTCCACGGTCCTTCCTATCCCTGAAACAGCCCCCGACTTAGAGTGGCCGCAGCAGATCGGTTATGCGAGGTCCAAATACGTGGCGGAACACATATGCGAGCGAGCGGGTAGGACAAGTGGTGTACCCGTCCGCGTCCTCCGCGTTGGACAAATAATAGGCGACACGCAGAACGGCATCTGGTCAGCAAGCGAGGCCATACCCATGATGCTGCAGACGGCAACCACCATCGGCGCCCTGCCCAGGCTCCATGAGACGCCCAGCTGGTTACCCGTCGACATCGTCGCAAAGTCGGTAACGGAGATTGCTACCTCGGAAGCTGGCTCCGTCTTCTGTAACGTTACAAACCCACGCACATTTAGCTGGGTCGACGACTTGATCCCCGCCCTTCGCAGCGCCGGTCTTGAATTCGAGCAAGTCGAACCCCAGGAATGGGTCAAGCGCCTCCGCGCGTCGGACTCGGACCCGGCACGGAACCCACCCATCAAACTAGTGGATTTTTTCGCTTCCAAGTACGACAAGACCGATTTTTCTCCGTCCAAGGCCTACGCGACGGGAAATGCATGTTCGCTATCCCCGACGCTCTGCGGTGCTATCGGCCTCGAACGGGATCTTATCATCAAAATCGTGCATCATTTCCGAAGCTCGGCGTGGAATGCCGCAGCTGTACCAATGGAAACGACCAAATCTATTATTGTGGTCGCCGGCCCCTGTGGAAGCGGTAAGTCGACGCTCGCTACGTCCCTTGCCAAAACTTTCAACGTTCCGTACGTCGAGGGTGATTCTCTTCATAGCCGGGACGCTGTGAAGAAAATGTCGCAAGGGATCCCGCTAGATGACGAGGATAGGGCATCATGGCTGGAGCGCGTCATCGAACACTCTCTCCAGGTCGTCCGGGACCGAAACTACCCCCAGGTTGTTGTGAGCTGCTCGGCACTCAAACGTTGTTACAGGGACATATTCAGGGCTCGCATAATTCACAATGATGAACATGAGACGACACAGCTATGCTTCCTGGACCTTCAGTGCGAGCCCGATCTCCTCGTGGAGAGAGTGAAGCGGAGACAAAATCATTACATGGGACCGGAGATGGTTGACAGCCAGGTCTCCACGTACGAAGCTCCCCAGCTTGATGAGACGGATATTTTTCCCATTGATGCGGGAAGTCCAGCTGCTGCGGTGCTGGATGAAGCTATGTGGACTCTACAGCATGCATGTGGGTTGGAAGTTAAGAGGTCACCGCTCTTGGTGAAATAGAGATAGAAGATAGAACGACTGAAGATATTTTCTTTCCCTCTCTCATTCTCGTCTGCTTTGGGAAAATATAAGTGCTTCATCTTTCCTCTTGTCAATCTTCTCGGTATCCTCCATTCGCCGTCTCACTCTCTGACACTAGTGCATCCGTTCTTCGCCCAAAGGATTCGAGGAACTTTCGCCCATGGCAAGATCATAAAACGAAAAGATTCCAATCGATAAAGAATAAAGAAACAAAACTTAAAGAGATAAGCTTACTAGACCACAATCTATCACTGGTCTCGGCGGTAATAACCCTCGGTTGTGCGGTACCTTTCATGAAGATGGGTGAGAGAGTAGTCAACTCGTCGAGCAACAGCGATACCCGACCTTGCATTTGTGGCGCGGGCATCGGCGTTTCATTGGCCTTGAAATATGAAATATGACGGGTCGCTGCACACCCCAGCGCCAACCGCGTCACGACCAACAGTCGATAATATGCAGCAGGCCAACCCAGGGACCCGAGAACCCAAGACCCCAATCCCCCCATTCACTTCGACTTTCCCCTTTTCTTTTTTTCTTCTAGCCTGTTCAGTTACTCCTCTCCCCTCCCCCCCAAGATTCCAAAAGGATCAGCCCACCTCCGGTGAATTTATTACATGAGACCTCTTTGAATAATACGAACCCGAACGAGCCTCGTGATGGAGTCAACCCGGGCACCGAGAACGGAGCAAGTTACCCGGAAGAAGAAGGGAAAGACTGAGACCGTGGAAAAGACCGGCACTCAAGCAGAGACTCCAAATCAGGGCGCACCGTCCACCAAGAAGAAGAAGAGCCCAACCACGCAGCAGAGAAGCGAAGAAGCGACCGGAGTAAACGCAAAGAAATCGAAGCCGTCATTTATGTACCCAGAGCTACACGAAAAGATCATATCGCTCCTAGGCAACGACCTGGAAGGACTAAAATTCCACGAGAAGGACACGAACCAAGGGCTCCGGAACAAGTATCAAACCAACATCATGGGAAAGTTCAAGTGCCCCAGCAAGACGTGCCCTAAATGGGGATGGAGCAGCAACATCGTGGCCATTGTGATCAGGAGTTACCCGGGAAACAAATACAATGCAGTGATATTCAACCAGCGCTGCAAGGCCTGCAACGCCCTTGGTGTATTCAAAGTGGATGAAGATTCGTATGCGGAACGCGTTGTGTACCGGCTTCGAGTGTGGGCCGATATCCCCGTGCCGCGGCCGCCATATAGTGGGAAAGCGACCGATCCGCACGAAACGGAGTTCTGCGAAGGCTGCAAGCGAGGTGTTTGCCAAAGATCCTCTGGTTACAGATATGGCTATCTTTACTAAATGTATCTACTCGCCGTGTTCTTCGAGGCTTCCGAAGCTGCCATTGACGAGAACAATCAAGGGCTCCCTTCAGAAGATTCTCGGTACTAATCGAATTGAAATCAGTCCCAATTTATCTCCTCATATGCTTTATTCCAGACCGCTCCTCTTGCCAGGGTTCTCGAGTGGCGTCCATTCATTCCTCTCGGCATCAATTTTGTTGTGATGATGGAACATCGAGCAGCTTCCCTCTCCACTGTTCTAAACAAAGAAATGGAGCTCGATTTTAAGAGGGTGGGAGTCAAGTTTTGTGACAGATCAGACTTCCGCCGAATGAAACCACGAGTGCCCGGTTCGATCTCTCTTTTCACTTCATATGCCACCCCAACGTGCATGGGTATTCGATGTTAATTATCGCGATGTCCGAGGCGATTCATGCCTCAAACAAACCATGACTTTAACAACAAAGCGCCGAGCGAATGGTACGGTTCCCCGAAAACCCTAACATGGACAAAGATCAGGTCAGGGGTCAGGACTCAGTCCTGGGATGGAAAATTGAAAAGAATATGCTCTCTCCTCCGAAAAAGCGTGTATATAACTGGAGACTATTTCGATGTTAGTGTCCCTATTCTTCACCATCAAACACAAGCAGAGCTTTTGACCCTCAAACAACTCTACTATCGACAACTCTCTCTTACTGAGAAACTTCACTACGAATCGCTCATCACCTGGAAACGCAATCATATCGATATCACCCTGCTCAACCATAAGACTAAGAGACATACTCGTCACAATGGCTGTAGCTCGTACGCAAGTTCAGTGCACTAAGCGTGGATGTCGAGCTGTGTATCGTCAAGGGACTCGTCATACGTGCCCCGGGGCACCTCAGGCAGTCATACAGCTTCCAACCCAGAGACGCTTGAGGAAAAGTCCTAAGAATGGTTCGCGGAACGGAAAGAAGCAAGCTACAAGAGAGTAGTAGCTGAAGCATTAGCTGTATCGATTGGGCCAGTGAGCCTTCAGTCGTTACCACTTGAGCCAAAATGGCATTGAAAAGAAAATCTGAAATGAAAAGAAAAAAAAGAACACAGAAAGATTTTGTTGAGACGCCTTTTTAGGCTTTATTACTTGGATACGGATAGTTATATCCATACCCTCGTAGATGAAGGAATGGTCAAACAAGCTCCGCTCCGATGTCTGAATGTAAATGTGAAGAATGGTTCTTATTATAAACCCATCTATGACTGAATAAGACCCTATCCTACCTGTGTACTCTCCAGCTATCTCTCATGTCTATATAAATCTCAAGCAACCAACTTAGCCGCCTCCTTTCCTGCTATCCTCCCAAAAACAACACAATCCAACAGCGACGACCCTCCCAAACGGTTATCCCCGTGCAAACCCCCTGTAACTTCACCGGCAGCAAACAGCCCCTTAATCGGCTCCTCGCCCTCCTTCAACACCTGCGCCCTATCATTAAACGCCACTCCTCCCATGGTGAAATGCACGACCGGCGTGATCCTCCCAACGACGACATCCTCCTCTCGGTTCGCCTCACCCGGCACGAGCTTCCAGTGTCCAAAGTCCTTGCGACCAAACGGATCGGCACGCTTGTTCGCCACGATATCGGCGTATTCGTCAATGGATTGAATCGTGGCCTGGTCTAGGTCCTTGACCTTCTTCTTCTGCATCAGACCCTTCCACGTGTAGAAACCCAAATGTCCGCTCGCCGCCTCGGCCGCCCCAGGGTCGAGGAGGATGGTGAGGTTCCATTGGCGGATGTCCTTTTCCGACGATGGGGGGAGAGCCATGATAGCCTCGCTCAAGCGATCGCGCGTCTGAAGCTCATCGATGAAGCGCTTGCCGGAAGGATCCAGGAGAATGCCGCCCTCGCCGCGGAGCATCTCGGCCGCGAGGAACTTAGAAAACGAACCCGGCGCCGCGGGGTCGACGAAGCCTGTCGGGTGGATTTGCACACTGTCCATGTCGATGAGGGCAGCGCCGACAGAGCTGAGGAGCGCGTGTGTTCCCGGCCGAGCCTCGGCTGTTGCGGGCATCCCCTTGAGGTCGGGCCTGTACTGTGCCAGTTGACCATTGGCATCGCCGGCGAAGCCTCCCGTTGCGAATACTACGGGGCCCTCGAGGTGGTGGGTCTCTCCATCTTGGGTAAACTCGACTCCCTGGACAGTGCCGTCCTCTGCTTGCTCGAATTTGGTAACTTCCGCAGCACTCTTGAGCTCGAAATTCGGATCCTCCTTCACTTTATTCAAAAGTCCCGTCACTATGGCGGCGCCAGGTGGCAACTTGCCTGCGCCCCTGTGCGTCCGGGCAACTGTGTGACCTCCTAATAAAGCCACAACACTTAACTCGACACCCACCTCATCAACAAGCCATTCCACCGAAGCTGCGGAATGGCTCGTCAACCTATCCACAAGGGCACCCCTATCTACACCTCCCTTCTTCGTCTCCTCCCATTCCTTGTACCTCCTCCCCGCCGACCTCACGGTGTCGCTCTTGAAGGAGTCGTCAACAGCGATCCCCTGGGCCTTTTGGAAGCGCGATCCCGCGCCGTTGATACCAGATGAAGCTTTGATGCTGTTACCGCCCGGCTTCGGGGCGCGATCGAGCATGCGCACGGAAGCGCCTGCACGGAGAGCTTCATATGAGGCGCATAGTCCGGCGATACCGGAGCCCACAACTATCACAGGGTTGTTCTGAGGGACTTGAGCCATGGTAGTAGCTGTAGATATAGATGCGGTGGTTGTTCCGAACTTGAAGAATGATGCAGGCGTCCTAAAGATTTGGGGGTTGATCAGACGGCTGTAGAGCATAGCCAGGATGGCAAAGAATCCTGCGAAGAGAGTAGTGAGCAGGATTCGGCGCCTGCTCATAGTGGATTTTTTAGCATGCGCTTGAGAGAGGGGTAAGGAGAGCTAAGAGCTTATAGTTGATGATATTGGTTTAGGGGATAGGAAAAGTAGAGCTCAGATGCAAGTGGACGCAATGGTGATGACGATGTCGGAGGCATCGTACCATATTCGGGTATTAGTCAGGACAAATGGGGCGAGGACCCGGAGTATTGGACTGATGTGGATGGGGCTGAAATTGGTGAGAGGAAACAAGAGAATACCATACCCATACCACGCTTCAACTTCGGCACATGCATCGGCAGAACTGGCTCACATATTATGTAATAATTGAGTACGCAGGTACTTTGTACAATTGAACTTCGTGATCTCCATGGCGGCTCCCATTCCCGACGCAATATATGCATACCTATGTACCTTTGTCTCCCTTAGATTGTGAAAGAGAGGGTCCCGCGCTTCAACAATGAGCTTAGTCGCCAAAGTACCTTCGTAGACCTTCAACTTCCACAATGACCCGGACCACGTGAGTCATTCGGCCGGGCCTTATAGGTGATCAATCGATACAAAGGTAATAATCGTTAATATTTGTATTAGTCTTGCAACGGGCCCACCTGGTCATGGCTTGGGGTGTTGTCAGCCATTGCCGTTTATGGCTCGCCGAAGACAGCCTTTTTTATGCCGGAGCTTCGGCGACCCAATTAGGCCACGCCTCGAAATCCTTCGCACTCCTCCATGTCGCACGGCAATCTGAGTTTGTGCAACACCGAACCATAATTATACAAAGATATAATTGTCTCCATCATCCAGCACCTCTAACAAT